AGTTTATTTATGTTTTATAAATAGTTAGTAATATTATTTTAGGGATATTTTATATCCTTAAATAATATTTTTCTATAATTAGAGTTGTTTGTAACTGCTTTAGTATGTTGTTGGTTTATAGTTAGATTCTTGATCTAAACTTGATTCATCTTGTTTTTTTATGCAATGCATTCTTATTCTTATAATTCTTTTTTTTTAAGATAAAGATATATAAATATTCTTTATAAATTTTACTTTATTATTGTTAAAGCTTGTAATATACATACTTAACAAGGTAAGGATATGATTGATACCTTTCCTATCTTGGTATGTAGCTACCTATGTATCTTGCTTATACGTGAATCCTCATGGTTCTTTGTATACAATTACAAATAGCCAAGGTGAACTTACAATTTAAATGTATACAAGAGTTGTACCGCTCTTGTATACATTTAATTTGTAGATCCATACAAATCCTTACCATCATATAGATAAAGTAAGGTATATTACTGTATAATTGATACCTCATATCTATATGGCTCTTATATTTAAAATTTAAATTGTAGATTGACGTGGCTCCTTACTTTTATACCACAAGCGAGGTGGATCCATAATTTAAATCGATACAAGAAAATTGGTAAGGATCTATGTGATTAGTATAAACTTAAATTGCGTGTACTCGTGGCTCTTATATAATTTTAATTTTTAAATTCGCGTGGCTCTTCGTATAAATGTACAAGAGCCACGTAACACGAAAATTCAATGGCGCGTTACAGCCTCGTGCAGTGTTGAATTCAGACATTTTTCTTCGGGGGAATTTTTTGGAGGATTCTCTTATAAAAGATTTGTTGGTAGGGGCCCAGGCAATTGTCTTTTTTGCCCATAGGATAACGCGCCACTGCGAGAATTCACAATTTAAATTCATGCAAGAGTAATACAGATTCTTAAATAAACACTACAAAACGTCATATAAGAACTGGGAGAACCAATTCATTTGAATTATAATGTACCATAAATTTATTTTCTTTTATTTTAAGTACGGCGCTTTAAAAAAAAAAAAAAAGAAACTTTTACAGTATAAATGAAGCTGCTACAGCGTAAATTCTTGGAGCGAAAAAGTATAATTGCTCAAGATACGCTCTTCAGAGCCTATTGCTGAGTTCTCGGGTCTCGCCTACTTGGGTCACATATACTCGAGAATGAATCATTTCTAAAATTGTTTCGCTTTAAAACATGATTAAAAATAGATCTTTTAGCTTCCAGACTTAAAATGAAATTTATATATTTTATATCAACGTCGGTAAAGTTTAAAAATACCAATCTTAATCATCTTTCGATTGCCATATTGACACCAGATACGTCACGACAATTTAATCGCATCCCGCTTAAACATGGCTTCCAAAACACGTTATAGATCAATGACCATTTACAAAACTTCTTTATTTTCGATTAAGCAACGGTAAAATATCAATCTCCTTTCTAAAATTTAAGACAAAAGACCTCCAAAAAAGGATAATAATTCCACGTAACACACACAAAAAATTGTTTCCGGAAGTAAAAGTCAAAAATACTTGGGAATTGCCCTATGCGACCCGGTTAAATCTGTATACAACCGATACAGATCTTCCATTATTGACCCAATAAACGAGGCTATTTAATTCTTATGTAAGGATCTAAATAAAGAAAAACTAATTCCATAAATAGATAATTTCTATAACTTTCTACTTCATTTAAAGATCAAAGATTGTCCGAAAAAAAATAATAAAAATTTATTAATCAATCGGCATCGCGAGATCGCAATCGCTATCGCTATCGAGAAGCGACATCAAAATAATCCAATTTTCGTAAGCAGAAAATAGAAAATGGCGGAAGTGTCTCTTAAATCTTTGATCTCGAGATATTTTCTATTAATTTTTTTATTCTTTTTTTCTTGGAGATTGAATATGTTTTTGGCATTCCAAACGTGACGCGAAACGTGACGCGTTATCCATTCTTCCGTTAAGAATCTCCCTCCCTCATTAGTCAGCAATCATCTCGAATGCTTTAATGGTAATTTTATAGTTTTAGTTTGATGAGGCGTTCAAAATTTAATTTTATTTAATTCGAGAGTGAAAATTTGTCGGAAATTTCACGCTTGAACTTCGTCCGCGATTTCGGGAAGGAAGCGACTTCCGTCGTTATAGCGAGTTTTTCTTTTTTTACAATTTAAATTTCGTTATAACGGTTTATTATAGGAGTTAATTTTCGTGAAATTTATATCGAGATTTTCATTAATTTTATTATTTTAATATTATTTTACGCGTGGTTTGGGTGATAAGAAAGTACAGTGGGTCATTTCTGTACGCGACTAAAATACGGATTTATTTTATAAAATTACTAATAAATTTGAAAATTATTAAGTATTTCGCTGTTCCGTTTAGTATTTTAACGTGTAATTAAATATTTTAAGCTATTTTTCAGCTGGAATTTAAGAATTTGTGCCTTTTATGGAGTAGCAAAAGGATCGTCTTTGTAGGAATTCGCGTTTTTAGTTAAATTTATTAAAAATATGAAAGGTATCGGAATTAAGAATTTCACCAGCAAACTTAAAACTAAGTTTAGCAATTATTGTAACATAAATTAAAGAATTTGGTGAAATTTGATAATGGGAAAACCCCTCCTAAATGTCAGACTTCTCACCTAGTTTCGTTATGTAGGGTTGTTTTTTTCCCTCTCTAATTTTAATTTCAAATGTAAGGTAGGTCACTTGTCCGGTTAAGAATATCTCAAATTGTTTTAATAAGGAAAACGAGTTTTCTAAAAATATATCGCTGCGCGGCTGCCATTTATGACCCATTCACTTTCTACACAACGTTCGGGGGAATGAGACATTCGAGTTTTTTCCTTTTTTTTCATATAATGCCTGGATTTTTTTTTTAAATTTTAATAAAATAAAATTAATGATAACTGTTTAAACTAGATTTTCAATGCGTATAAATATAATTTAATAATCTGTATGGCTCTTTAATGTATTTTTTTTTTTTCTTAACACGTACCTGTTAAAAGTCACGTTTTCATTTGTAGTAGTACCCTTGCAAAGATCCATCTAAAATTTAATTTTGAGCTTCGTCTTCCTTTGTCATTTAGATTTTGGGGGTTTCTCTACCTGTAAAATTATTTTCCGAGTGAAATTAACCTTATCTAACTCTACATAAAGGTAATTAAAGTAGACTCTACATGTAAAATAAGTACTTTCAGGTAGAATTTACCTTTTAAAAACTGCAAAGATAAGGACAAATTGTTCTAAAGATTGCCTCTAGAAAAAATGGAGAGGAAAGTTTACCTATTTTTTCTAGTGTCTGTTTCTAAAAATTGTTTTATTCTCCTTAAAACAATTTTTTTTGGAAGGTTACCAATCCAGCTACTTCAATTTTCAGTATCAAGTAAATTCTTAAAATAAAATTATACAGAATTGAATAAAAATGGAAGTATCATTTCATCACTTCAATACCAAAAAATAAATTTATAGTTTGAATATTCTCCATTAATTCAATAGAATAATCACTTATCTCCATGAGATTTGTATGGGAACCGGGATAGCCCTATAAAATCACTACAAGCCTTTAACTTTCTCCAAGCCCAAGGAAAAATCCCCAAGTAATATCTTGAATTTCATGTTCCAGTTAATCAGTTAAAGTGAACATTCTGAAAATATATCTTAATAATTTATTTTTTTTTTTATTGTATTAAAAATACATCCTACATGTAAATACAAGTTATAATGTATTGTGTAATTTTATTGAGAAATTTTATGATTTTAAAATGTTAAATTTTTGCAAAGTAAGAGGTCAAATGTCACATAATTCACTTGGTATGAATTATATATAGGAAGTATAATGTAAATTATAAGATATTTATTTATAAGGAGGCTTTTGTAAGAAGTTTTATAAAGCAGGCACCTGTAATTATCTGTAATTCCTACAATTCCTGCAAAACTCTCCTGAAATAAGGCATAATTGTTATAAACGGGAACCTCACGAGGAGAATTTTGTAGGAAATTTTATAAGCAAGCACTCTGTAATTCTCAATTCCTGCAAAATTCTCCGTATAACTCCTATTATAAACAGGCACCCCCATAATTCTAAAAGAGATTTTTTTCAGGAATTATGGAGAGAATTATAGAGTAATTGCTTATAAAAAGTATTCTACTTTCCATTATCAAAAATAGACTCGAAAAAGTCAGAAATTTCTGAGAAGGAGGGGGTCGAGTAAACAACCGTTAAAGTATGTCAGATGGAAAAACAAGACTAGCAAATTTAATATGCTTTTCTTTTTTATTAATAATTATCTATAAAATATATACAATATAAGAAGAATTTAAAAAATTGTCTTGAGCGGGCGTAACGGGATCTAGGAGGCCAAAATTCCGAAAATTCGGGCCCCGTGCGATAGACTAACACTAGTCACGCCGTCGAAACCGGGTAACAATTTTCTCATCACAGTAATCAAACTAACAATATAAGGAATTGGTATTGTAAATTACTAATAAATTCAAGGCAAATTTCAAAAGGCACTAATTTAAAAATTCCTAGATTATTAATTATAATAATAAAATTAATATTATAGTAAATAACAAACTATATTTGGGGATTCCATACATTGGCATACAGTCAAAATGAATTTTGGAAGTTTTGTCATTTGGCATAATAAAGGCGAAACAAAATTAAACTTCCAAAACTCTTACATTTTGGCAAAGTTTTAAAATTAATTCATCATTTTATTGTTCTTTTTTAAATTAAAATATATCATAATTTTTTTCTTTTTAAATAAAAAGACAAAGATATAAATTTTAGAAAATTATAACAAATTCAATAATACAAAACATGCAACAGCTCAGAGATAAATACGCATCGACTTGCCATTGTGGGTTCAAATAGGACGTTAGGCAGGTGCCGAGGGACAGGACTCGACATATCCGGATCAAGTTATCCGAGCGGATCCGAACTCGAACTTGAGGCCAACGTTACGGTCTTGTTTGTCTGCCTTTCGGCCAAGTCAATTTTTAATTTCCGAACGATTCGGCACGGTCTTCCCAATTTTGATTGGATTGGATTTTCCAAAACGAGCAGTAACAATGTGTGGTAGCACCTGTGAATAATATTCTAACTAAACCATTTGTGAAATATTAAGAGTCCAAACTGATTTAAATTCAAATCTTTTGTGAGAATAAGGATCCAAATTTGATACCTCAAACTTAAATTTCTTACCCCATTAGCCTCTCAAATTTGATTTTCTAATTTCAAACATCAGAATTCATGGTTTAGATAATTTTGATTAGTTTCTAATTCTGTTTCTTTAAGAATTTTTTCCATAATTATCAGTAGATACAGGAAATGAATGTATAGTTAACGGAATAGTATTCTATCTGAAAACTATGGAAAACACAAGTAGAATTCTGGTTTCTTTCTCTATCTTAGATAAATAGATAAAAGAAAAATGATTTTTTATTCCTATCTAGAACAACAATTGTTTTCTACTGTAGAGAATCCTTTAAATAGTCATTTCTTTTTGATAATTTTAATAGGAACAATAAGATCTCAATTATGAAAACCATTAGAAGAGCAGCTATCTTCTTTTTTATACTTACAAGAATACTTGATCTGCCACGACTAAAAACTGATCAGATTTTATTGTTTTGCTTGCAAATCCGTAGCTTAGATAAACTATTTTCGAATGGAATGAATGAAAAGAAATGAGCAAATTATAACAGAGGGTTGTGTTAAATCTTAAATTGGTGTTTTCTGCTTTGCTCGAGTCCCATACGTCCCAATCTACGAATTTCAAATCCAATTCTGTTAAACTTTGAGGCTGTTGCACGATTTGTAAATGAGTTATAGTTATTTTAATAACAGAAATCATAAAATTTCACAAAATATATTCCTTCATACAACTGTAGGATGTAGAAAGGAATATTATCTCTATGGCAATCTAGCTATATGGATGACTGTTGAGAAGACTTTTGGTGTTTTTATAATAATTCTAATAATAATAATAATAATAATAATAATAACATATGATACAAAAATCAAACAAATAATAGTAATTAACACTTGTACAGTTCAAAATATTAGTAATAAATAATTATTTAGCAACTATAGTATACATAATACATTGTAATAACATACTGTAATTGTGCTAAATAAATTTAATTAATTGTTTAACAATTTTAATAACTTTCCTTTGAAGACAATAATAGTAATAATACAAATAATGGCTAATCGTTTAGTGTGTTATCTATCGTCACATGATAGCATGCACGGTAAGTTATTTGATATTGTGCTTAAGTGTAGGATACAAATTTATTTGTGTTGACGATAAATTCATTATGTTTGCACTTTATTTAGAATGTTCAATGATATAAAAGTCTAGAAAAATAGAGGTTAATAGGACTTATATACATAAAACATTAACAATCAAGATACATTGCTCTCCATTCTACAAAAAATTAGGAAGGTTCTGATAAGAATTAAATTCAAATCCAGCAGTAAAAGTATCTTATGGTGTGATTAGCCAAACCCAAGATGGCCCTTTTAGTGCCCAAAGGGCAGGAATAGTAAAAATAAAAAGTCCAGAGTATTTTACAATACACATTCCAAATACCTTGCATACTTGGCATCACTTACTTTTGAATGAGTTAATACTTAATGAAGGTCAAATTATGAGTAATCACACACAAACAATGGAAGAAAACAGATATGGTTTCACTTGAGTATATACTAGAAGAAAGATGGGAGGGATGAAGAATAAGGAAATTGAAGGAGAGAAAGTATAGCAATGAGATGATGAGATGCTACAACCCGACAACAGTATTACCGACAGTATCTTTAAGCAAAAGCTTTGTTTACGATCTCACTTTATGCACACAAATATGTGATTATCAATACTCATCTTAGTTCAGTACTCAGAATCAAGTACTACTGAAACCTTTTAACAATATCAAGTTTCATTTGATATGGATTTCACATTAAAACAACTTAAATAAAAGGGACTTCACAGGTCTGCATTTGCCTGTAGCCTGAACCCAGGATATGTAGCTCCGGCTTTACTAATTAAATGATTTAGAACAGGGTGGGACTTAAGAATGGGACATCTTTCTTCATATCTCATAATTACTCAAAAACATTACAAAAGGACAGAAGAGATTTATGTCACTCTTCTTTAATAAGACATTCCTTCACCGAGAGGGAATGTCTTATTACCGGTCGGGACAAAAAAATTTAAAGCTGTGGGATGTCTGAAAAGTTACCATGTAGTGAAAAATCTGTAACAACAGGTATGCGTACAATATTGCACGAGACCCATAAACTGAATGCAATACCGTACATAACTGGTCAATTGGTATTGAATCGACAACTTACAGGTCACGTATAAATACCGTACGTATAAATTTAATGTCATTACAAATTTCTCACCGTACAGTACCCTTTCAGACCCCGTATAAGCTCATTATTTCCGTAACATTTATAATATCCAAACAATGCAATGCAGCCATCCGCACAGTATCAGATAACACGCTAAACAATTATTAAACAACGATAAAAACAATTATTTCCGATTTTCAAATATTTCCTTTCTAGCTCGATACAATATTAACGAATGTAATTATTAAATTTTCTATGTATATATATCAATCTTAAGGACCTATCAAAAATATTTATTCTTTTATGTATATCAAAACATACTTTGATGTTTTAACACACTATTTTATCTTTTAGAAACTTAAAGTAAGTTTGTTTCTCAGACTTAAGTTAAATAAAGTAGTAACGATTGTCAGAAAGATTCAAACAGAAATCAAATTTATATTAATCTATAAAAATGAAGTAAGTGATTAAAGAGATTTTTAAAATCTTTACGAGTTAGCACTTTGAAACGGTTTAATTTCGTATGCTGTAAACCTCAATTTTGTCCCTTACGGAGTGACCTAATTGGATCCATGTAAGGACAATCATTACGGATCCGATTCATTCTTACAGGTCTCAGTCTATAAAAATAAACAAGACTGATTAGTAATTATGGTTAGGACCATCTAATTGTCATTACAGACCAGGATCTTTACAGTTTTATCTCATCTTTACCCTTGTTATCTGTTAAGGTAGGTTCACACAGGCATACTAACTGCTGCAATATGGATACAAATTACTGGTATGTGCCAATACAATGACAGTTTGGTCAGTTTATTAGGAGTCAAAAGTATCTTGACTTTTACCAAACTTTTTCCTTAAAATTGGCAATTGTAAACGAAAGCTTTTCGATCAATTGCATTTTAATTCGGTGGCACAATACGATGCAAACAGCACCTCTCTCTGTTAGTGTACAACATTGTGAACTTAGCTTTATAGATAATTCCGATCAATAATAGTAATTAGATCCTTACGTAAGATAATACATAATCACACTCAGATAAATCTAAGAATTGGCATCATCTGTAACAGGATTAGAATGAGGGATTCAAAAAGAAATCCACTGGTGAAAACCACAAGTCTTAATCAGATCAAAGCTACGACTGGTCGACTTAATATTCCATAAACTAATTTAACTCGTAAAGATTTTTCAAACGAATACAATTCAATTTACAATTGGTAAAACAGGAACATTTACAATTGATTAAAAAAAAGTTTTTCTAAAAATTTTGCAATATTCTCTCTGAGTAAAAGTCTATTCTAATGCTTAGTTATCTATATAAATACACAAAAATTCTTAAAAAACTAGAAATTCTAACTACATGAGGTAGGTTATCATCAAAAATATTGTAACTATAGTACTGTTTCATGAACAAATCTAATTCATCACAGTGCTATTATTAAGATATGCTTCGGCAAGACTTTCATATGTATTGGAAACTGTATTTCTTTTTTAATTAGAAGTCATAAATCTATAGATTTTGTTTAAATTTTTTATTAATTTAATCTACCATAATTTAAAATACTTTATAGGATTCAGTGAATAACCTAAATTCTGACTACCAGATTATATTTTCAATTTTAAAAATTTGATATAATCCTTACAATTTCCTCCACAATGCTTCCAAATTCTCTCATTCTAAATAAGAGTGTAATGTTATTAAAGCCAAAGTATTCAAATTTTGAGAAATTTCTTTGAATATGTGCAGCAGATGCCACTTTTACAATGTAATTGGTTATCGGAAAACCGTTGCTACACAAGCCAAGGTAGATTGATTTCAAATTTCCCTAGGTTCTGCATAATAAATTAAGATTGCGTGTCTAGAAACAATAGATTCAACTATATAATACCACACAGAAAATAGTCCTAATGTAAATGTGGATGTTGTAAAATAAGAAACTAGTGTGTATCACTCAAAAATCCTCAAATTTCCCCCCAAAAACAACAGTTCCACATACCTTGTGTGTTGTAGAGAAACCTAAAAACACCTAAATTATGCAATTAGATTTTAAATTACAATAAAATTGTTTGGTTCAATATTCCAGTAGTATCATGAAAAACGCACACAGAATTTCAATCTACATCACTGTAGCCTAACAATAGATTTTTAAAATGTGTAATTAATTAACTAAAATATTCTTTTATCTGTATTTTTGTAACCAATTATCTAAGAGTTTTATATATTAAATAATTTATAAAACACGCAATGTATTATTGGAGTCAAAGAAATTAATTAATGTCCAATTACTCGTACATCCATCATTCTTTCCCTCATCCTGTTCGTCGTTCATCAAGTCCGTCCCCTGACGATGGACTTAATTCTTAAGTCCAGCATCGGGGGACAAAAGCAAAAAAATAAACTTACATAAAATTTAAAAATGACCAAACTATAGATATTTGTAAAAGGTGCTCTGGAAGAAATCGAATTTATCATCTGCTTTTAAGTTTAAAAAAAGCATTCGAGAATGTTTAGCTTGGCCATTTTCAAATTCTAAGTTCTTTTGTGCTTTTTCCAATGGTGAACTTAGGTATGAGAGAACTGCAGTTTCCAATTTCTGTTCTGACTCCAATCAGGGTTTCATGTGTTGTTTGAAATTTAGTTCGGAAATTAGCAATTAATTTTAAACTTATCAAGATCATAATTTGTAAGGTTGTCAAGAATTATCTTGTAGTTGTTATGCCAAATTTATGGATTTTTCTAAATGAGAGAAGAGGCAATATTGTCTTACATACTGTTCTAAATGTGAAAGAGAGAAGTGAACTAGACTTTGCATGTTACTTACATAATGACAAAAACATAAACCTAAGAGCAGCAATTCAAATGTTCCAAGTAATGAAAGAATTGCTGGCCGTATGGCCAATGATTAAAGTCTCAACTTATCACCAAAAACCAATCTACTCAATTTTTTTGGATACTTCTCTATAATTTGTCTTGTAAAATTTTAAAAAATTTGTATTAGCAGTTCCTGATATGTTGAGTGCTTATATTCTGTTTGGACTTGTGTCTTCTAGCGGCAATTGATAGCAATTGTTTGATTTAATCATTAAGAGAATTAATAATGCATTTTTATTTTTTAAAAATCAAAATCGCATTCTAATCTTTCTAACTAATCAGATTTTAGGTTGTTCACTGTATTTTTTTGTTTAAAAACAAAACCGAATCAGATTAACCAGGATAAAAAGACATTTTACGCAACAGACTTATTAAAAACCTATTCACTTTGAATGATTTTTAAGAAAATTATTCACTATGATGAATATAGTTGCATTGAGAAGACGGAGATTTCTGCCAAATTTGTCGGAAATGTTTCTGGAGTAAGATCTGAACAGATTTATTTCAAGATAATCACACTTAAAGCTGAGTTATAATAATTAAAATTTTAAAAAGAAAGTAACATGTTTTATGGACTTATTAGTAATTAAACAAACTACCTAGTGCCGTATGCTGAAGTATGATTCTTTAAATCAAATTCTAATGTACTTCTGAATCTATTTAATTGTCTAAATATTCTTAAAACAACCTTTTGAATATTTAAATATAAACTTTAATTTTTTCCCATCAAAAGTCAGAACATAAAAATTCAAAATAAAATTTTAATTTCTAAATTAAATCGAAATTTTCATTTATTATTCTTTCGATGCCATGTAACAAATAACAAAATACAGAATGTAAAATTTCCAGACTGATATGGTGCAAACAGATACAGTCTCTGGTACATATGTTTCAATGAAAATCATTTGTTTAATTGACATTGATGTGACATGTATTTAGCAATTGTTTTGTGTAAAATATTGTTTGAATGTTATTAAATATTTATAAATTGAAGTAAACTATGTTTATGTCAAAGTCTAGTAACAGGTCCATCTCTTCAAAAACCTATCAAATATACCAAAATTGTGTGTCCCCAAATACACAAACTATTAAGATTTCTACTGTTTTATAATAAAATTCTCAATTTTATCTTCATAAAATAATCGTGTTACTGATCTGTTAATAAAAAAAAAAACAACGTTCTAGTTGTAGAGGGTTATTTGACTTATGTTCTAAAATTTACATCTCAAAGCCCAATGTTTAATAAGGAGCCAAATAATTGAATCTGGCTAGTTTTCCACTACAAAAGTGAGCCCGATTTAATATGGCAATCATTTGGCTTGTAATTAACCATATAAATTTTAATAACAGCATTCATTTTAACATTTCATTCAGCCACAAACAAGAGAATACACACTTAACTTACTCAAAAACATTTCTTTAGAATGTGAAAATTTGGCAAAAATCTCCTTGGAAGGCTAATAAATGTATATAAAATTATCTTTAATCAGTTTCTAAATATTATCTTTCAATATGGCAGTTTCATTATAACAAATTGTCTATTGAGAAAGGAAGTAATTGAAAAAAAATTTTTTTTTATAAAAACAAATGACTGGATATATATCTCGAAACTTCAAACGTTTTCAAAAGAATTAAACGTAACGTATTTACAACCCAACAAAGAAATACAATGCCAACAAAGAATATTTATATAAAAATCATATAATAAACAATTGGACTAGTTTTAATCTCTTATCTACTAACAACTTATAAAAAAAATTAAAATGGCTTTGTATGGCTCTTGTTGGTTTTGAAAATGTGTCCTCGAGTCAAACGTTTTACGTCTTTGATTTTTCTTAAAATTTCTTCCAATGAGAAATTTTATCGGAAGTGCACGGTCTCAAATCACTTTCTACCGAATGCGATTTGAAATTCTTGTAATTACATGTTGCTATATTCTATTTTTTTTTTTTTTTACTTAACTCTGACATCTTCGTATCCAACGTTTCCTTTAATATTTGGTCCCACACTTTTTATATGCTTTGTATAACCGTTATATTTGAGTAATATATATTTTTTTCTCCCGAATTCTTAATTATTTAAACATCTCTGATCGCCGGCTCGTCATCATCATCATGATTTATTCGCCCATTTTCCTTTAGGATATCATTTGTGTGACCGTATATGTTATCATCCGAACTTCCGCAACCCAGCAGAGGATCGTCATCTGCTAACTTCTGTTTATAAAATATGGAATACTTAATTAAATTCTAATTATATAAATTATATGCTTTTGTAATTTGGAAAATGTTTTTACCTGTTTTTTGTTGAGTAAAATGTGAATTATAAAGGCACTTAAAATCAATAGTACTGCTAAACCAATAGATAAATAACTGCTAATTTTGGCATATAACTGTGGTTTAAAGATCTTCGACTTTAAAACTTCGGCTAAATCTTCAGTTACATAAAACGTCTGCAACAAAAATACCGTAGATGAAATGTTTTGCCTTTCAAAATATAAAATAAATAAGACTTATTAACTGGTTTATTTGGTATTTCTTGTTATCGACTGATTTATTTAAGTACATTTTTAAATTTATAAAAGAAATAATCTGTTTGTACAGCCCGTTTGCTATAACTTCAGACACGCTTCCGCAAATAATCATTTGCAAAAAACAGTACAATACTCTTTGCCAATAATTGTCTGGGACTAAATTAATAGCAATTAATAACATTAACATATTAAATTAAGACGTTGTTGCTTCTACAATAAGATAGATAATGTAGATTAATGTATTTTGTAGTGTATGGTGATGAGGTGGCCACTTTGCTTCATTTCGTGCACAAAATACAGCAATAGTAATTATGATCAACAAATAAAAAAGATCATAAAAATAACAGATTTAAACAGACTTAGAAAATATAACATCATAAAGAATTTTTTGAAGTGAATATCAATATAGGAGTTTATCAAAGCTTTAAGAGTAAAATACATCATTGATTACATAGTAGACTCTCTCAATTATCCATGATAAATAGGAAAAATTTCACCTGTTTTAAATCTGATAATGTTTAAGTTTTCAAAGAAGCAGAGAGAACAACACATACTACCACCTCACATAGTTATTCACTATAAAATGGATACTACAGCATTGCTTCCCTTCCCCTTCTTCCTACCAACAGACTGAAAAACAAATGAGTCATACAGCAATTTGTGATAACTTAATGACTCTTCCATAGGGACTTTTGGCATCCCAGTTAATTGAAAGGCTACTAATTTTATTTATTGGGCAATTCAAATTAACCTGTGATAATCTATGGCAAGTGACAGAATCATGCATAGTCAAAGAAGTTTCACATCTGACAATGAACAATTATTTATTGTGACATCGTTGTATTGCTGGGTTGCAATTTTTAATTTATTTAGTTTAAAATATATGCTCTCAACCGCAAATTAGTAGTGGCATTACTTTAATACTTTTTCTTTAACAATAGAGTCGTGTCAGTCATCTATCTAACGCCTTTTGGGAAAAAATTTTTGAATTGAAATAACATAACTTCCAGTGTGAATTGGAAGTTCTTATATAGTTAATTATGACATCCTGCCCGTAAGGTTTCCATATCTATTTTAACTTTCATGTATCTAACTCTGTTCAAGATTAGAAGACAGACGAACAGATGACAGCAGGAATTTATAAGGCTACAATTTTTTCAAATTGCAGCCCAATCATAATATACAAATCTGGACTGTTTAGTGGATAATCAAACACTTCTTAAGAATATCTTTGGTGCAATTTGCAGTGTATGGGTTTGATTTATTCATTTATAGCAACACGATATGGGATGATTTTCCTCCCAGGAGGACTTCTTTGGAAACTGATCCCTATTCAAGTATTACAAATGTGAAGAAAACCCAGAAAACTCCATTTGGCCAGCTCGTTAGAGAGGCACAAACACACGATCAACTACGAGTGGTTTTATCCACTCGGCCACTGATGGATGTGTAATGTGTAAATGAGTATTGTCTTGAATAAAGAAAACTTTAGATGACAAAACTTCAAAAATTGAGGATCAATTCAAAACAAACAACACAGAGAGAGACCTTTGTCAAATTAAAAGTTTTCTCTAAAAGAATCTTAATAGTCTTTGTTCTGATATAATAAATTTTAAAAAATTAAAACACAAAATTATTAATTACCACTTCTTGCCAAAGTACAGGAAATACCAATGGAGCAGGAGAAAGCTTATAAAATGGCCTAGAAAAAAAAATTATATAAACTACTTATAAAAATGATATTTATATTTCAACATAATAATAAATATAAAAGAATTTCATTCAGTATATTTTCATAAATCCAGAGAAAATTATCAATAAAAAACAGATTATTATTCAAATTAAAATCGGTTTTACGTACCAGATAAAATGAATTTTTTTGAGATATAAATTGATTTGTAAACGAACCGACGCATTAACAGTTAATCCCGTAATCTGAAATAATAAATTTTAGGTTCGTTAGCTAATAATAATCTTCAGTCATCTCGAGATTTTTATTTTAAAATGTTTTTTGTTAAGTAAGAAAAACTTAGCTTACATCATACATATCTTTTTTAAATTTTTAGTAAATTTAAATTCACAAATTCGCTTGAATATTTAATTAATAAATTTTTTATTTTCAACAAATGATTGCTTGAAGAGGGGAAAAAAAATCAATGAAACTGTAATCTAGGTTATAGTTATAATTAAGCATTGAAAAATGTCATGTATAGCAATCAGAATTGGTTTTATGTTCAATGTACAATCTATATTCTGTTAATTGTACAAGTCTAACTTCGCAATACAACAAACTGAAAACGCTGCCATTATTCATCCCTCGCTTCAAAGATTTAATCAAGGATTTTTAGTTACAGTGCCTTTTGATCTAAAAGTTAATCATGATCTGCATATATTTTGATAGTAGTTATACAGGGTGTCGCAGGAAGTGTTCTTCTGGAAGTAGGTGATAGAACTCGTTAAGATAAGCAAAAATGTAATGTATTTGCAAACTCCAAAAAGTTATCAAAATATTCGAGGTTAAAACAGCAATAAAAATGACTTATTTTAGAATCCCAGTTTAGAGGAAAAAACAAATAAATGCAATGACAAGGTTTTTGTGAATGGTTTTTAATCCGTCCTTCCAAAGAGTCTTTGCAAAAGTTCAAAATTTTAATTACTTTAAAAAATCTTTTTACCAATTACTACATTAAAGTTTAATAATTGTTGAATTTTATTCAATAAATTACTAGCCGTATTGCCAAGGTCACATGTGACTACTTTACGCCAACACCATTCACCAGCTCCTGTTTTCAGTCATAGGCCAACAGCTGGCAGGTCTGTAAGCATCATTTGGCAAAACTTTAACCTCGAGTATTTCAGTAACTATTACAAATTTGCAAATATGTTATTGTACATTTTTGCTTATCTCAACAAATTCTATCACACATTTCCAGAAAGGATGTTTTTTCTACAATACCTTGTGTATGTGCTGTACCATACATAAACCAACATCAACAAACTCAGTGTACGTAAGTAATCTGGTAGTTGTTGGCATATATTGTATATGCATCACCCTTCTAATTAGTTTAATGTTTATAATTATTTGAGATGAAAATGATTCCTATTCTAGACAGTATAATAAGTGAATACTGTTCCCTCGTAGAGCCTTTTATTTTAATTTTTAAATTTGTTTGAAGTAAATTTTCTAATAACTACCTCCTTTAACTTGATGTCTTCAAATTAAATACATTCAAAAAACTAATATAGCTGATGTACCCAAAGCTCCGTAACATTATCGGGTTTCATATAGGTCTTTCCACGTTACAGATGGGATATCGATTTTCAAGACCAACAGAAATAAAATAGCCAATTGGTGTCATTAATATAAAAGAACTATTTGTTTTATTAACATATACTGATTCCTATTGGTTCATCTGGCTGTTGCATGTGTAATTTAGCTACAGATTCATTTTTGAAAGGATAAAGTATTAAAAACAAAACATTGGAATCATTCAAGCATCAAATTAGAATCACAAAATTACAGTTCAAATGTCAAGACTGTATAAAAACAAATTAAAGAACTAAAAAATAGTTATTTTCTATCTGATGTTAAGATAGACAGCAATCACATCCAATAAATGCACTCAGGCATTTAAAAGATAAATATTAGTAAACAATCTTTATGTTAATTAATTTTATAAATTAAAGCCATTAAATTTTGGATTATTTCTTTTTTTGTAGTTAAAAAATGCTTAACAATGCTTTATTATTGAGCACATATACTACACAGTCCAGTCACATTAATGTGACCATCTGTCAAAAGCCAAAATGGGCCACAAGGACAGATGTGTACTTCTGTTGATCCATCGTGCTTCCAGAATGATGAATGCACCTGGAGAATGCCACGAAAATTCCACAGATCATAATGCTCCCTCCTCCAGCTTGGACCCTTGCGGCAATTGTTGCAGGGTGTTTGCTTTCAGATGCCTCATGCTGTATACACCAACGTCCATCTGTTTGATGGAGCATAAAACGTGATTCATCAGAAAAAGCCACCTGTCGCCACTCAGTGGACGTCCAGTTGCTGTACTGGCATGCAAATTCCAGCCTTTGTTGTCAATGAACAGGAGTCAGCATAGGTGCTTTAACCNCATTTTTTGTAGTTAAAAAATGCTTAACAATGCTTTATTATTGAGCACATATACTACACAGTCCAGTCACATTAATGTGACCATCTGTCAAAAGCCAAAATGGGCCACAAGGACAGATGTGTACTTCTGTTGATCCATCGTGCTTCCAGAATGATGAATGCACCTGGAGAATGCCACGAAAATTCCACAGATCATAATGCTCCCTCCTCCAGCTTGGACCCTTGCGGCAATTGTTGCAGGGTGTTTGCTTTCAGATGCCTCATGCTGTATACACCAACGTCCATCTGTTTGATGGAGCATAAAACGTGATTCATCAGAAAAAGCCACCTGTCGCCACTCAGTGGACGTCCAGTTGCTGTACTGGCATGCAAATTCCAGCCTTTGTTGTCAATGAACAGGAGTCAGCATAGGTGCTTTAATCAGGCATCTGCTGCAGAGACCCATACACAGCAACGTTCACTGAACTGTCGTTGAGGAAACACTTTTGGTAGCTCCTTGGTTCATCTGGGCAGTCAGTTAATCAACAGTTGCATGTCTATTTGCCCGAACACATCTCCGTAGCCGTCTGTGGCCCATGGTGCACCACATTTGGCACGTCACTGATTTTAGATAGTGCCATTTTGCCATGCATGGTATACTTTTACCACGGCAGCATGCAAACAGTTTACAAAATTTGCCGTTTCGGAAATGCTTCCACCCTTGGCCCGAAAGCTGATGATCATGCCCTTTTGGACATCGGATAAATTGCGTCATAAATCCATTACGCCAACGATTGCAATGTGTTTTGCTTACCTCAGATACCCTTCATATACCTTCTACTGTAATGTGTTGCTACCTGCCACCTGTGATTAGTTATTTCACATTGAGGTCGACAGTAAGGGGTGGTCACATTAATGTGACTGGACTGTGTATAATTACAAAGAAAGAAAAAGTCCAAAATTTAATGGATTTAATTTATAAAATTTATCTTTCATGTTATCTTCAAATGTCCAAGTGCATTTATTGGAAGTGAGAGCTGTTTATTTTAACATAAGATAGAAAATAACTATTCTGTAGTACACTTTAAATACTTACTTTATGTGAATGTGTTAAAGCTTTAAATACTTAAAGCTTTAACACCTTCATGACATCTGAACTGTAATTTATGTATTTCAATGTTTTGTTTTCAATACTTAATCCTTTCAAAAATGAATCTACATCTAAATCATTTGTGCAATGACCATCTGGCTGTATATAATTTTAGTATGTTAGATGTGTAAGTTCAGCCTGCTGGTGACCTTACACATCTAACATACTAAAATTCTTCCCACACTTGCAACAGCATATCCATTGTCACTCCTCACGGAAGCCACAATTCTACAGCTCCTACAGATTACAAATGTTGCACAATGACGAGTGATTATGACTTTCTAGGATAAGTTTTCACCTTCACAAAATGTTCTCTCTGTTGTGCAGTCACCATTTTTGTTTACGGTACTTCCTACATATAATAGACAACAAGATGTTTGAATGCAGATGAGATATGAAACTCTGATGATTACTCTATTGATTGGTATATGTTGTGTANTTCAGATGCTTCATGCTGTATACACCAACGTCCATCTGTTTGATGGAGCATAGAACGTGATTCATCAGAAAAAGCCACCTGTCACCACTCAGTGGACGTCCAGTTGCTGTACTGGCATGCAAATTCCAGCCTTTGTCGTCAATGAACAAGAGTCAGCATAGGTGCTTTAATCAGCATCTGCTGCAGAGACCCATACACAGCAACGTTCACTGAACTGTCGTTGAGGAGACACTTTTGGTAGCTCCTTGGTTCATCTGGGCAATCAGTTAATCAACAATTGCATGTCTATTTGCCTGAACACATCTCCGTAGCCGTCTATGGCCCATGGTGCACCACATTTGGCACGTCGCTGATTTTGGATAGTGCCATTTTGCCATGCATGGTATACTTTTACCACGGCAGCACGCAAACAGTTTACAAAATTTGCCGTTTCGGAAATGCTTCCACCCTTGGCCCGGAAGCTGATGATCATGCCCTTTTGGACATCGGATAAATTGCGTCATAAATCCATTAGCCAACGATTGCAATGTGTTTTGCTTACCTCAGATACCCTTCATATACCCTCTACTGCAATGTGTTACTACCTGCCACCTGTGATTAGTTATTTCACATTGAGGTCGACAGTAAGGGGTGGTCACATTAATGTGACTGGATTGTGTATAATTACAAAGAAAGAAAAAGTCCAAAATTTAATGGATTTAATTTATAAAATTTATTTTTTATGTTATCTTCAAATGTCCAAGTGCATTTATTGGAAGTGAGAGCTGTTTATTTTAACATAAGATAGAAAATAAAAAAGCTTTAAATACTTAAAGCTTTAACACCTTCATGACATCTGAACTGTAATTTATGTATTTCAATGTTTTGTTTTCAATACTTAATCCTTTCAAAAATGAATCTACATCTAAATCATTTGTGCAATGACCATCTGGCTGTATATAATTTTAGTATGTTAGATGTGTAAGTTCAGCCTGCTGGTGACCTTACACATCTAACATACTAAAATTCTTCCCACACTTGCAACAGCATATCCATTGTCACTCCTCACGGAAGCCACAATTCTACAGCTCCTACAGATTACAAATGTTGCACAATGACGAGTGATTATGACTTTCTAGGATAAGTTTTCACCTTCACAAAATGTTCTCTCTGTTGTGCAGTCACCATTTTTGTTTACGGTACTTCCTACATATAATAGACAACAAGATGTTTGAATGCAGATGAGATATGAAACTCTGATGATTACTCTATTGATTGGTATATGTTGTGTACTTCTCAGATAATAATTAACATAATTACAGTAATTTAAAACAGTACAGTAGTATTCATTTCAAAACACTTTTTTTTTTTTTGTCAAAGTAAAATACAAATTGTATTATGAACAATGCCAAAGATTATTTTCTGTAACATATATCTTAATGTTTTTATGTTTACAATGGATGGTGTTACAGTAGAACCAAAATTCAAATTTCTGTATCCATTTGAACAATTTGTTAAAATATAAATATATAAAAGATAAATAGAAAATAACTAAATACATGGATCCAAGTAAAATAAAATAACATAAAATACAATAAAACAAAATAAAATATATCCATATAATAAACTCAATTATATGGACCGAGTGCGTGTTGTTTAACATATTATACTAGGTTATTATCAATCATATACTTCTATGCAGTTGGTAAATTTGTGGCGTCTTTATAATTTAAACATTTTCCCGTACTGCTGGATCTATATATTTCAAAGTTTTCCAAAGTCATTGCTAAAGATGGTGAGCAGGCACCTGTCTAATTATCTTAGCTTCATTCCAGTCAATCATTGAACCTTCTGTTTGTGCCACTGGATAGTGCTGTATTGCAGTGCTTACTTATATCATACACATGTTCCTTAAGTCTTTTACTCAATCTCCTGGTGGTGACAACAATATACTCTTTATTTATTCCTAGTTGATCATTTTTGTATGGTATAATAACCCAGAATAATATGTTATACAACACGCACTCGGTCCTTATAATTAGGATTATTATATGGATATATTTTATTATGTTAATTTTACATTATTTTATTTTGTTTTATTGTATTTTATGTTATTTTACTTTACTTGGATCCATGTATTTAGTTATTTTCTACTTATCTTTTATATATTTATATTTTAATGAATTGTTCAAACAGATACAGAAATTTGAATTTTGGTTGCACATAAATGTTCCATAAATTTCAAATATACCTGATGATGACCTGTGGAGCAGATAGAAAACATTTGTAGGATAATAAATATTATTTCTCGGATACATAAGGTGGTTGTGTCAATATAGTCAAAGAATCTGAGTGTTTATTGAGATAAAAATAATATTGGAGTAGCCCAAGACATAGCCAAATATTGCAGCTCACAGCACGCATGGACTAGTGGAAATTTGAATTTGCCAACTGGAATGCTTTCAGTTGATCGGTATTCAGATAATGCTCTACTGTATTTGATAAATTATATAGTCTAATATTTCACTATCACTTTTTATGTGGAAGATAATTTAAAATAATGATGATAATGATAATACATGCTGTCATTTTTATGTATGAAGAGCATTTACTTACAGGTTCTAAATCCATAAACCATTTATGTTTCGATGGTTCTGGAGATAACCCTTTTACAGCATGTAAATACGAAGGATCGGCCAAGTAAAAATGAGGATATGAAAGAACAACGGGTGCACCTTCAAAATTTAAATAATATATTAAACAAAATGTAAAATAATGTTAATTTTCTATATAAAAAAGTAAAAATAAAATACCAAATTGACAAGGACTGATATCCATTGCTCCTGAAGGCAAATTTTTCCCTACATTAAAACAAGCATTAGCAGGATTTTCACTTGCATTCTGAAGGACCGAAATTCCCGCCTCGAAACGTTTTGATGGTATTTTAAATAATTCGGAATCTTCTTTATAATCTAAATACCAAGATCTGCAAAAAATAAAGCCATTAAAATTGGAAAATTTATGACAAATTTAAATAAAGCTAAATATTACTGGAAGAAATATTGGTCAATCAAGATCCACTACCTTACTAACTGGTGAAATGTAATAAAGACACTCACAAACACTAAGACTTATTAAAATCCCAACAGACTTTACTCATATGAACATTTTCATCCATTTTACTCTTACATGTGGTTTCATCTGTTTAAAGTCTGTGGAATTTTAGCTGATCTTAGTATCTGCGAGTGTATTTATTGGTCAATTAATCTTACTGCTTATTTCTAAAGTATTCAGCTATCAAGTCTAATGAACTGATAGATGAATACTGTATTCCATTTGGTATCTCTCTCTCTTTTTGCATCTTCCTGACACACAAACACAAGACAATTCTCCACCATATTTTGTCCCAAAGACTTCTTTAACATGACTAAAAATAATTTTAGAGCATTGTTTTCATGTTATAAAAAATTTTTGTAGATTTTATGCAACAGCATATAAATCACAGTATGCATTTTTTTAATACACAATCTGCAAATTATAGGCAGGAAATTATAATGTAAGATAATCAAAAAGTTATTGTGCAATGGAAAGAATTTAAGTAAATTTTATGCATGATATTACAGTTTCTCCTACAGTAAATGCCAGAAATGTGCCCCAGAAACCCAAAATTTGGAAAGCGAGGTCCAGAGAACTAGTGGGCTGTATTCCATGGGAGATTATACAATTGGCAAAGAAGTTGTCCAAAAACTGGAACATCTGTGAGCAAGCAGTAATGCAATATACTGCAAAGCAGAAACATGAGACATACAACTTGAGAGTCTCACACACAACATCATATGTGTAACTTACAAATTTTTCACTGCAGGGCAACTTTTCAGACACCCCAAATTTGTATTCTCAATAAATTTTAATTTTTACAGGTATAATAAAATTGTGTATATAGTACTGAAGACAATAGTAATACAAAGTGCATCTGAAAAAGCTAGTTACTACATTAAATCAGTAAATTTCCACATTCCAACATGAGGAACACATTGAGATTCAGTATGTTAGATGAGTTAATGGCATTTGATTCTTTTATGTAGGGCTGTTATGTCCGGCACTTTTGTAACATACACATGATTCTTGACATGCCTGCAAAGAAAAAAGTTCAGAGAGATAATGATGGGTAATTGGGTGGACCAAGAAATAGGGTTCTAGTGATCTAGATCATGCGGCAGTAAAGATCCAAATGGCCTTCATGTAGTAGCAGCCCTTTCAGGCATTTGCACTTGAAACAATATTACTAACATTCTACAACACAATTTTCCCACATATCTGAACAAATGGATTTTACAGAACAGTTTAAAACTAGGGATGTTCAAGGAAAACATCTTGTATAATCAAAAAACAGAAGATAAATGGTTAATGGTTTAATGACATTTCTTATTTGCAACAGAAATGAACAATGTGTAAATGCAAAATAACTTTCTATCATCAGTCAATTTATATTACTTACCTACAAATATCTGTCTGAAATATATGTATCTCTTGCTGATTTTTCAAAAGAGGTGGATTAAACTCACCATCTAGACATGAATTAAAATATATAAATCACTTTGTTTAACAATAATAAATAATTTTAATTATGTTACTTTATTAATATTTAAAAATCAACAAAAATTTAACTTAATAGTGGCAAAAGTATAATGTTTGACCCATCAGCTAAACACTTTAAAGAAATTTAGTGCCAGAGAACTTGCTTCTTATTCTTCCCTCTCAATACATTTTAAATAAAAATTGAGTAAAAATATGTAGAAAATTTCTATTTAATACATATAATAATTAAATTATACTCACTCGTTCCATTCATCATTGAACAAGTTGAATTCCATGCAAAAAATTTGCTGAAATAAATACATCAAATAAATTAAATTCAGCTAAATACAACAAAATGGGAAGATAATCTTAAATTTAACATATTGTAGACGATGTAATTCTGTACACTACTTTTTACCCTTTTTCATGGAAAAAATATGACAATAAAGGCAATTTCTATTCTTTATCTCACAAAATGCATCTTAGCCTATTCAAGAATAGTTCATTTGTTAAAAAATTTCCACAAAATACAGTCAAAACCCATTATTATGTTATCAGTTTATACAAAGTCTGCATTAATGTGAAGTATATTTGTGGTCAGGTGGAAGAGGATATGGATTTTAATGTTAACGAATTTGGTTAATACAAAATATCAGTTAATTTGTACTGGTAATATGAAGCTTATTATGGCCCCACAAATTCAGTAACTATTATATATAAGCAATTTCCAGCTTCCCAAATCATACAAGCCAAAATGACAATACAATCATCATCATCAGGAACACATTTTTTGACTTTAACATTGGCCTTAGCACACATGACATCAATGTTATCGTTGTTACTGCTGACAATACAATTATATGCCACACACTTATACACAAATATAACTCAAAAAATAGCACTCTCTCTTACATTTGACACTTTATAAGCCAAGATAACTCTAAATGATTAGTCAAGACAGTTGATAAGCACATTGGAAAATGAAAGTTAACAGATCAATTAAAAATCTGTAGTTTTATGAAACAGTTATTATTATTAATTGTTTTTAATAATGAAAATAATGAAACAATATTGTAATTTGTAATGTTTTACATGTATCCAGCTCCCAGTTTCAAATTGGCAACTAGGCCAGCTTGTTATATCCAGTAGTTTTAATTATTGTTCTACCAACTCAAACCGATGTTAAAAAACAAGAATTAATTCTTTCTTCAAGCCACTGTACACATATATACAAAAAAATAAACTTGTAACTATTCGAACAAGATAAAACAGTGAAATAACTAGTAGAAAATCTGGCTTCTGCCATTTGATGGTGCAACCATTCACTTTTTATAAACCAAAAGAGAGAGTCATTAAATTTGCACTTTGTCTTAACAATGTTTACATTAAGTCCCTTCAAACTATGTATTAATTAATGGGTTTTGACTATATACACAAAAACCACAATCTGCATAACATAATGTTAAACTAAAGTGGACCATTCTTAAGGGAATAGGTCGAATGCATTTTGTGAAACATGCCTGCCGGTGCCAGATTTTTTTCTATAGGAAAAAGGAAAAACAATAGTATTGAGAATTTCACTGTCTACAATATATAACAATAAAATACAAATTTATATTATTCTACAGGAATGAATTCTTGGAAGTTTCTATAATAGTTAATTAAAATTCATTACATACTAAGCAGTATCAGTATCATTATTATTATTTGGAGATGACAATTTTAGATAAATTATGGTTGTTTTATTTGTAAGGTATTGAAGTTTCTCTATATTAATAGAGGTGTTAAATATCAGCAAAGTATACCACGTACTCTACCTAATAATAATAATACTACATTACTTTAAGATGCACACCAGTTTATATTTGTTAGTGCACATTTTCTTTTTTAAGTTACAAAAATTAATATTGAGACTAAAAAGGAGCATAGTACAGTCACTTTAATGTCTCCATAAGTCACTGTAAGGCATAGTGACACATAGCACCATCTAGTATCAGATTTTATTTACATAGTTTAATCTTTTGCCAATTGTTTGCTAACTCTAAAACAGTGTATTGTGACAGGTGATACACACACATGCAAAATTTCAACTATATCAGAAATTAGAAAGTGGATGAAAATTGATTTACTTTATCTGGAGAAAGAGAGAGCAAGTTAATAAAAAATGTATAATGATATGAGAAATAAAGATTATATCCATTGATAACCCATTGCCTCAAATATTCAACATTTAATATTTTCTGTAACACTTTGAACTGGAATTAGATAGAAAATCTGGATTTATTCTTGTTTGCTCAAAGGCATTATTAGTCTGTAGATACAGAAAAATTAAAATTTTTCTATAATGCCCAAGTTGTTAATACACTATACAGCAGTACAACTTAATAAAGTTGAACTGTTTTTATACTGTATCAATAATCTAATTTTTCAATTTTATTTCTGTAATCTAACTATTGAGAAATTGTTCTTCCTGAATATAATTTCACAGGAAAAATATTTAATTATGTAACAGGAATTAAACAGATCAAATACAATTTAACTTCTAAGATTATAAAAATATACTGAAAATGCATATATACAAATTTTGAATATTAAAAGATCTAAAATGTTTCCATTTCTTTAATACAAAATTTTCCTTTTTTTATTAATATGATTTAAAATGTAAAAATACTTACTTTTTATCATTTAACTTATCAATAATATTTAACTTTTCTAATGTGCTTTTTCCCGTAAACACATTATATAATCCGTCGTCCGTATCGTTTTTCTGGAAAGTACAAAAGTAATTATTTTAATTAATTTAAAATGGACAAAATAAAATAAAACATAGCATTGCTTTTTTCAATGCTATGTTTCATGGAGGGAAACAAAAACCAAAGCTAATACTTTGAAATGAAAAGAAACTTATTTCAAACACAAGGCCAAAATGCATTAATGTCGACAATCGGATGGCCGAGCAGATAAAATCTACCTCTCCAAGAACCCGGAAACAAATTCGAGCAGGTCAAAAATCCTAGAAATACATAAAGTAACATCTACAACTCGACATACGTAATAAGAGATGGCACCTAATGCCTCCCTCTAGTGGCAAATTATTTAGTAATTAATTTGAAGTAATCACAATATAATACCCCCTAATATAATGCAGTAGTTTTTGGCTTATTAGGTATGTACATCAAGTTTGTATATATTGGTTTACGTATATATATACCATGCGAGAATTGTGTGATAGCCAGCTGAGTGCAATAGGTGAGTGTTTACCGGATGTGGATGCTGAATACATTTCCAGCCAGTGCTGTAGGTAACTGACGATGGTTATCTCATGTTTAAATATATCTGAAAGAGGAGATTAGACTGGAGGCTCAGGTAGCGTAATTTGCAACGCATTCCCACAGTAAGTACTAGCTGTGGGTTTGAGTCTTACCACGGGCCGATTCTTTTCTTCCGGAATTTTTTAAATTATTTCATTTAATTATAATTATTAAATCTAATAAGAAATGACACCAAACAGTTCCCTCTAGTGACAAATTATTTGGTAATTAATTAAAATAATCGCAATATAATCTGGTAGTTATTGATTTAACCCTAGGAATTTCTTGGGTGTGATCCATCCAAGCCCTGTCCCTCACCACCCTATCGATGGTCTGGTCAACCCACAATAGGCTTGATAAAAAGACCCTCTTAGCACCTGTAGGTGCTAAGAGGGTCTTTTTATCAAGCCCTCTTTTTGTATTATCAATTAAAAGTTTGTTAAATATTGAAGTTTTTAAACTTATCATTATATTAAACAGAATATCTGTTTTAATAATAGCATTACTCTTATATAAATATTTATGAAAAAATAATAATATACTTTTAAATATGGAACGTATCCAAAAGTAAGGTACAATCATTTGTAAAATAACTTAATAACAAAGCCATTTGAAGTATACAATCTCAGCTATTTTCATGCATAGTCACCATTATTTTCTAAATACTCTTCCCAAGGGAGAAAAGGGCTAAAAATTCCTTTATGAAATATCCTGGGAAAGTGTTTAGAAAAGAATCTGTACTTTCAAATTCCTAATTTAATTTTTTTAATACTGTAATTTGTTATTATAAAAGATTATATCTTACTTCTAAAACATGCATTGTATCTATATAACAAATTTAACATATCAATCTTACAGACAGCATGAAATCTAGAAACACTAGTGTCATAAGGTAAGAATATTATAAGAATGATTATTATGATAATGTTAATAAATAACAAAACACCAAATACGGAAAATATGAAAAGTTTCAGATCCAAAAGTTGAAAAATATTTTTTACTAAAGAGTACTGTTTACATTGACCAGTACCAATAAATTATCAATCTTTAGGCTATGAAATGAATTCAAATACAGAGTGGGTGGAAAATAACTAGGCACTGAGAAATTGCTATAATTTTTGTAATAATACTGCAATCATAATAAAATTTGTGTGCACACATACATCAATCAATGGAATTATAATTTCCAAATTGGTGGTGTGGACAGCAGCTGAGAGAGACCATATACTACGAGGTTTGAAAATCAAAAGTTACTGTGCAGAGATAGTGGTGTATGGTAAACAGACATCACAATCTGTCTGGAAACTAATAAGAATTGTCTTTCAAAGCTAAAATGACCACGGGTTTCACTGCAGGTGCACAGAAGTGGCTGTTCATCCACTTCACAATCCGAGGAAAATGTATCATCGATGGATAGCACCGATGCCTACATTGAATTTTAATGTATTCGTCCCTATTTCAATTTATTAAGGTACATGTCAAATAATTATCATCTTGGAGATAGAAATATAGAAATTACAGCAATTTCTCAATATCTAGTTACTTTCCACTCACCCTGTAGATCTGACTAATATTTAATGTGTCAACTTTAATTAGAATAAATAATAATAATACTATACTGGAATTATATTCTCACATTCATTTCCATTACTTAATTCCACTGAGATTTTTATCATTGAAAAACTAAAAATAAAAACTTATGTTTATAAAAAATGCTATTTTATTAAAATCATAAATTCTTAGCCTTTAAAATAACTATAGTCACTTGCAGTAGATTTATTATAATCTAAATTTCCATTAATAATTTCGGACTCCATATAAATAATTAACAGCCATGTGATTTATGTAAATTAGCAATTAAATCAATATCAAATTAATCAAAACTTCTTAATCTACTTATACTTAAGATCAGATAATTATAAACAATTAATCTTACATAAAAACATTTATATTTCTTCTTACCCCATACAACCAGGCAAAGTAACCATTGTGATTAGGTACTTTTGGATTAATAACGGGTGCTAAAATCATCAAAGGATCCCTGTAACCAGTGTATGTTAACTCTTTAACTGTTTTCTTAATAAAAAGTCTCTCTCTTGTAGCCCAAAATACAGCATTTAGTGCAAGTTTAACCCATACACTAGAATTTTCTACTAAAGTAGCTGCTACCTGCAAAAAGAATTTAAAATAAACTAAATTTCAATTTAATAAAAAAAAAGTTATAATAAATTAATATAAAATGATAAATGTGAAAAAAAAAAATTAAAAACCATCCACACTTTCCCAGAAGTAATTTATTAAGCCAATGGACATTTTTGGCTTGTTTTGTAGGGCTTACGAAATGAGCCAAAAATGTCCGTCAGCTTAATGAATCTCTGTCGAGAAGGTGTGAATGGTTTTTAATTTTTTAAATAAAACTTATAATTTTAAAACTGGAATTTAATAAAAAATATTATAACATACTGTATATATGGTATTCAGCTTAATGTAAAACAAGGATTGTTGTAGGAAATCCTTGCCAATATGGGAATTTTTGAACAGTATCCCTTCATAATGTTTAATGCTGAATCCAAAAATGCCACCCACAAATTGGTGGCATTTTGCATATTTGGATTCAGTATTAAAAGTGGGTTTGTTATGCATTGAACAATATGTACAATGCATAGCAAGCTCACTTTTTAAAATGGAAAGGATAGTATTATATACATTTTAACACTATTTTAAAGCTGAGAAAGGATTGAAATTTAAACACCAAATTAATTATTTATCAAAAGTTGATGTAAGATGTAGCATTTCACATTGTTTTCCAAAACTGACAGGCATTGTGGCATCAATGCCTGTCAGTTTGGAACAGTTTATCAGTTTACCAGTAATCAGGTATGCAATAAATATAATTTTAAAGTCACTAAATGACTAATCGATGAGTCTGCAAGTAAACAATTACTAAGTGTGCTAATTTTTGCATTTGGAATCAAAATTTAAAAATTACTGGTAATGTTTTCAAAATTTACCATTTTGCCAGTAATGGAAAAGTCAATAAATTTGCAACCCCTAAACAGTTATGTTCTACATCATAGTATGTTAAAAGAATACAGTGTACAGTCGACCCCCCTATAACGCTGTTGATAATTCCGTTTTATATGAATTCCACGTTGTACAAGTCACTTAGATCTTACAAATACGTGTGCCGGGCTGTGAACGGCTCATGTATTTGTAAGATCTAAGTGACTCGTACAACGTGGAATTCATATAAAACGGAATTATCAACAGCGTTATGGGGGGGGTCGACTGTAATGTATTTAAACATCATTCAAATTTAATTAATTTAAGTACAATCTCTTTTCTTTTAATGCATGTTTATAATGCACAGATTTGTTCATATGCAATAGATAAATAGATGAATTACATGAACTTGTTCCTCAAAGTATCAAATAAATTAAAAGATGGCTTCACCAGAATACTTATCACATCTATTACTGCACAAACTGGTTAAATGTAATAAAAACATTCAAAATTGCCAAGACTAGTTAAAATTCCAACTATTATTCATACAAATGTTTTCATCCATTTAAAATAGACATTAAGTGAATGCAGAATCAAACAAAATTCATTGAATAGACTAAAATAAAAAAATTCAAATAAAAAAATTTCCAGCAACAGAAACTCCACACGTGCCATAAAACAATCTCATATTTTGTGCTAGGTTATGAAAAATTATACAATTAACGATTTAAAAAGAAAGTCACAAATAGAAAAGTACAAGCTTGTCAACTAAAAACTTGGTTCAAGCTCACAATGTAATACTTTTCTGTAATATTTTTAAATCAATGAAAACATTTGTACAATTCTGTTTTAGAATTTTTATCTTTTAAGGTTTAAATTAACCAAATCAGTCCTGGAATCACACTTTAGTGCTTAATTTATTAATTTTCCACAAGAACAAACGTTAACCTATTAGTTTGACAAGACAAGCACTGATATGATTCTTACAGAAAAATTATTTATGAGTAATAATTTAAATTACTTAGTATTGGAAGAATATTACATGTGTAAAATTTAAATAAAAATTTTCATACTTACCACCATAGGAGCATTTATTGTTGATATGATATCATCAGTATCACCATTTGAAAGATTTCTCATAAATTTGTAAGTTTTGATTTCCCTATAACTAATAGTGCTGTTTTCATGGAAAGTTATATTTTCTTTATACCAATGTGCCCTAAATAATTAAAAATTTAAATGTATAATTTATTTTAAGAAATGCAATAATAATAATAGGAACCGAATTTTTAGGTTTTCACATATTTTTTTTGCACGATGGCCTTGCATTGAAAGTTCCAAATCTGCAATTATTTCATTGATATGGGTATCTGGAACAGTTATAAAAACCTAAAAATGCATATTTGAGAATATTTTGGTATAAAAAGAAACCTAAATTTGGCATATTTTGCCAATTTCCTAAAAACTTCCCTATCCAATCTCTCCTCTTCAATCCCCAGGGATTGTGTCCCCTTTTCAAACTGGTTCTCATTGGTTTTTTTCATGATTGAATGATTATCATCCTGTTGCTACCCATTGGGCACTTTCACAGAAAAACACCAGAAAGTATTTAACCTTGGACTTTGTTATCTAGGCCACACTTTTTCCTAAAAACATATTTATACAGTGGGGTCATTTTCATTTTGTTAGTTTGTAACAAGTAGCTATAGACTTGAGTCAGGTCTACATTATTGGATACAGATTGAAAATGCCGAAAGTATCGTCATCGAAATTGTCCCTTTTGCAGTCCTATATTGCTGAATTAGAGGACCTGAAATATTTAGCATCGATGGGAAGATTCCCATTGGTACTAAATATTTCAGGCCTTCCAATTCAGCAATATAGGACTGCAAATTCAACAGGACGTGTAAATGGCTAAACACAACAACAATGTAAAACTGCAGGAAAATGCTGAGCATAAGCCTAAACAATTATTTATATCACAATTGCAGAACAAGATTGATTCTGTGCCAAACAATAACTTCAATTTTGAATTTTGTGAGGCAATGTGTAATGCAGGAATCCCATTTTCCGAACTATCATGCCCAACACTTAAATTATTTCTGGAGAAATACACGTGTAGAACAATTCCCAATGAATCAACGTTGAGAAAGTTCTATGGGGGAAGACGTATTTCTGACAAAGCTGGGAAAGTTACAAAATGAGTTTGAAAGTGAACAGATATACTTATGGTGGATGAAACCACAGATGAGCAACAAAATATGGTTACTCCCGTTCTAGTTGGAGTTCTTCGTGAAGACAAATATAAGGAACCTAAACTGTTAAATATGGAAATACTTGAAAAAGTAAACAATGTTACAATAATTCAGCTGGTGCTTAACTCTGCAGATTCTATGGCCCGATGACAAAGTATGACAATATGTGTTTACTGTTGTCAGATCAAGCAGCATATATGGTCAAAGCAGGACAGAATTTAAGCATAACATTTCCTAAATTTCTACATGTGACATGTTTAGCACATGGATTAAGCAGAGTAGCTGAAAAAATTCAAGATACTTATCCCAAAGTTGACAAGTTAGTGACATGTGTTAAGAAAGTCTTTGTAAAGGTACAGTACCTTACAGACAAAAGTTATGGAAAGACTCAACTGGACTCCCTGTTCCCCCTGAACCAGTTGTCACACACTGGGAAACCTGGTTGGATTCCGTGTTTTAAACTGGAGAATACATGGACCAGCTGAAGAACTTTTTATTGCATACTTGCGAAGATAAGATCATGACTATAGAGAGTGCTGCATCTCTTTTGCAAGATGCATCAGTTTGCCGAGAACTAACGGTCCTTAGATCTCTGGTATTTCTAAGGACCAGCATTAAGCAACTGGAGAAGCAAGCACTTCAACTGCATGAGTGTATTTATATCATTGAAAAATGTCAGAGCAATCTGCAAATCTAATCCAATGCAAAAATACAAGATACTGTGGAAAAACTAAACTTTTTTTTAGAAAAAACCCTTCATTGCAAGGGTCTGAACCAACAATGAATGATGCAGGAAAGCTGACTCAGCTCCATTGGATTATTCCATGATGCAATTTGCTCCTATGACATCGGTTGATGTACAGAGACTTTTCTTGATTATGAGAAGTTTGCTACAGAATAAGCCAAATATAAAGTGTTTTGCAATTACAATAAATCCAAACACTAATTCCCTTAACACCCATTTAATTTTTGAAAAGACATTCAAAAAAACCCATTTTTTAAAAATTATTGATTAAATCAGTTAATAGATTTCAAATCATTACTTAGTTTTCATATATATATATATATACAAGAAATATTCATGAATTATGATGAATTGATAATGTAATGAAGAATATGTGGTAGAAAAGGAAATGCATATTTTGAGGTTTTTAGAGCATATAATATGCACCTAAAAATCCAGATCTTAGTAATTAATATTTCCTTTTTTTGTTAAATTAGAAAGATGTTAATTTAATTTATTAAATCTTTTAAACGTCGATATAAGCTTAATTTGTTCACCTAATATAAAAATTGGCATCACTCAAAATATTATAGAGATCATCAGAATTTTTTACTGATAGTTTAAATCGACCAGTTGACAATGTTTTTATTTCGTTTTACTGAAAAGAATGTCGTCTTCGAGATTTATGAAACAGTTTTGTTAGATCTTTAAATATTAATTTTATAGAAAAATTCAATAATACTGTACAAACTTACTGAAAATATACAGTGTGATTTGGAAGCTATACAACAAACTCTGCAACATAATAGACCTCTCAGAGAAACATTTTGTGGATGGCAATCGTGATTCCTGATGCATTGTTTAGGAGCTAAAATATCTGCCAGAAGTGTATCATGCATGATGGGTTTTGACACCACAGGTGTTCTGGAGACTGAGGTTCAGAATAGGCACCTGTAAATTGTCTACTAGTGTACTTATAACAATAAATAAAACATGCATTTATTGTTACAAGTATTGCCTGTACAGTTGCAGAGTGCCTAAATGACAGGGAACATGGGTTTCTGTACATAAAATGTTCCTCTCAGTAAAATCCATCATGCTGTAGAGTTTGTAGCATACCTTGTATATCTGTATATTATCTTCAGTAATTTATACTAATATGTAGTACATTATATTAGTAATTTATGTGAATATGGTGCTTCTAATTACATTTACTATTTTTAAGCCTTGCTCTTAAGGGAATACTTGAATTATTTTTATTTACTACTTTTTCATCTTTTTTAAGACCTAGTGCTATTGATAGTGTAAATATGTTTTTAGATATTTATACGAGGTCTGTTCAAAAAATACACGGACTGACGTCATAAAACAAAATGTACTTTATATAGAAGTTACATGTCTGGGTCCCCTTCAAAGTACTCCCTTCCCAATGCACACACTTATCCCAACAATGTTTCCACTTGTTGAAACAGTCTTGGTATGCTTCTTTTGTAATGTCCTTTAGTGCCTTTGTTGCATTTGCCTTCATCTCGGAAATTGTCTCAAATCTTTTTCCTTTCAAGGGTCTTTTGAGTTTGGGGAACAATAAAAAGTCACAAGGAGCAAGGTCAGGTGAGTAGGGGGTGGGAAAAAGCAGTGATCAAGTCTTTGGCCAAAAACTTACAAGTTCTGAGGGCTGAATGGGCTGGAGCATTGTTGTGATGGAGAAACCAGTCACCACTCCTCCACATTTCTGGCCTTTTGCGATGGATGGTGTCCCTCAGACATTTCAAAACTTCAATGTATTAAGTCTGGTTCACTGTGGAGCCTTGAGGAAGGTACTCGTAGTGAACAACACTCTTAGCATCAAAGAAAACTGTCAGCATCACCTTGACATTGGATCAAACTTGGCTAGCTTTTTTGGGTCTGGGGGACGTTTCACCCACCCACTGGGACAATTGAACCTTCATTTCAATGTCATAATTGTAAACCCATGATTCATCACCTGTTATGATCCTTGACAAGAAGTTTTCATCTTTTTCTGAATGATCAAGCAGTTCCTGACAAACCTGGACGCGATTGGCTTTTAGGTTGTCCATCATCTGGCTTGGCACAAATTTCGCAGCAACACGGTGCATCTTCAATTTTTTGGTCAAAATTTTGTAACAAGATCCAACTGATATCCCACACTCTTCAGCAAGCTCCCTGATGGTCAGACATCGATTTGCCCGCACCAGGGTGTTGATTTTGTCAACGTATGGGCCATCAGTTGACATGGAAGGACATCCAGGACAGTCATCATCTTCAATCGACTGTCAACCACCCTTAAAACGTTCATACCACTTAAAACATGCTGTACGATTCATAGCAACATCACCATAAGCCATGAGCAGAGAAAATGTTTCAGTCGCATATTTTCCAAGTTTAACACAAAATTTCACAGCAAGTCGTTGCTCCATCAGGTCATTCATTCTGAAATCCAACAAACAAAAAATATCGCACTTTTTAATTAAATTTTAATTTAATTAAATATCGCACTTCACTAAAAACCATGTAGCTAATCAACAAATAAAGGTATCTGTAATCAGAAAATGGCTTTATCACCAGACGATCTGTACAAACCTAGCGACACCAAGCAGATTCCCCTGGAACCAACTGGAGCCGCACAATTCAAACAGTCTGTGTATTTTCTGAACAGACCTCGTAGGAATTAGCAAATAAAAAAAGGCTGCAATTCATTTCACAGCAATAGTCTGAAACATAACCTGCCATATTAGTGAAATATGTCTATACTAACATAAGAAACTAACATTAAGATTAAACTAAATGCACCAAAGCTGGAGAGTTCAACATCAGATACAAGCATCTTCTACACTTTTCCAGCACTGTTTTAATTCTCCAACAAATGCTTTTGACTCAATACACAAGTCTGTATCAGGTCTACATCCGAATTCAATTTTCCAACATTCAAAATTGGAATGTTAACTTGTTCCATGACATTTCTTTTAATAAAATGTAAAAGATAGAATGTTAAGACTTTAAGTGTCCAAGTACTTTTGAAATCAGAGACTCATGTAATACAAATTTTAACATAAGTTATAATAATATCTTCAATAATTGATGCAGGCTTATGAATTGAGCAGGAAATGTTTATTGGAGAATTAAAACAGTTCTGGAAAAGCATGGAAAGTGTTTGTATTGTGTATTGAGGTTATATGGCTACCACAATTTTGCTTTTTCTATATTATTCATGGTAAATTATGGTTGTGTAGGTTGATTCCAAATCTAAATCCCTAATAGTAATAACCTAATATCCTCATGAGCAGCCACCTGGTCAATCATTCTTATTGAGCCATACATTCAAAATAAAATTGATGTCAGTGTATTTATCTGCTAAAAAAGCAAATTTTCAATACAAAACTTTTCAAATTATATGTGTAAATGTTTAAAATAGTGTTTAACTTCTAATTATGAAGAGTGTCTATAAAGAAAGTTCCACTTTCAGTAACTTATCTTATCTCTCTCCCAATTTAGTTACTGTAACTGGCCACAAGTATTGCAATGACAATGCCTTTGTGACACGGGCCCCATGATACATGAAACTTTTTCTTATGGGGTTACATTAAGGACAGACAGAGACTTTGTGCCTCTTCTTCCACATGGCTTGTGCAAACTGCAAATGAGAATTGAAGAAGCTGTAGCTATAGAAACATATGACATGATAGCCAAAGTGTGACAGAATTTGAATACCATGTGCATGTCAATGTTTGTCACATCAAACAGGCCATTGTATAGAGTTACTGTAATGTGAACATTGTGAAACAGAGCCTGGACACATTGCGCAATGTGCATGATATAACTCATAAAACATCAGCTAATGTATCATATTTGATTAATAAATTTCTGAAAGTGTGACTTTCTTTACAGATACTATCTATTATTAAAACACTTTAATTCTTTTTCATAATTGGTTGCTTCAATTCTATGAATATTTTTTTAGCTAATGTTTAAAATAATAATAATAATAGAATATTTCAAAATACTTGTAAATATAAGGTCCGACTTCTTTAAAAATTGGTTTTTCACCCTTTAAAATAGCATCTGGATTCGTTATATTAAAGAAATAAATTTTTTGATATACTGGAATAGGAATGTCGCTCCATATTTTAAATGTTAACGAACCATTTGAAAGTGGCAGATTCTAATATAAAAATAAAAAGAATTAATTAAATCAAAATGAAATAATTAATTATAAATTTATAATTAATAATATATAATCATATTTTTAAAAATAATACAGATAATTATATATACAGTGGTGCCTCGTATAACGTACTTAATCCATTCCAGGTGCACATCTGTTAAGTGAAAAGTCCGTTATACGAAACACATTTTCCCATAGAAATACATGTTAAAACATATAATTCGTTCCTCAGTATAAAATACCCATACCATAAACAAATGAAAATGTAGCAGTCACTAATTATGCCGGTAGTCAGATGTTGTGAGGAGGTGGAGGAACACTTTTTTCATACATTCATACAGACTTTTTACACATTGCAGCAGGTCTCTTTTTATTGTTTTTTAATCGGAGTCAGATTTAGAAGAGGCTACCGGAGCTTGTAAGGTCAACTCCTCTTGTTCCATCCTTTGTTTTTCCTTGCTGGCTTCTTGAAAAATATGTCCAAGGTGGTCTGTTTCTCTCTCTTCTTCAACACTTGTTGGAAATGATGGGCAAGGGTGTCATTGTAGAGATCATTGATCCTGTTGGCCTCAGCTCTGTTTGGATAATGAGTGTTGGTAAACTCCTGAACCTCTCCCCCATTTGACAAGGAAGTTTTTGTCAACTTTCAGTCCTTCTGATGATTTCTTGCTTTGTTTCAATTGAAATCACCTTTCTGTTTTTTTCAGAAGCCATGATTTGCACAACACTTGAATAAATGTAAATACCCCCCTGCACTGAGGTGATGTACTGTACATAATAAACAAGAGAGCAAGCTGAATCCCAACGGGAGCTCTGTACTTCAGATATACTAATAATATATTCTAATAATACTAATATATTATAAAAATAGCAGATTGTCATTGGCAACAGCAAAAGAGTGGAAACAGCATTTGCAATTGTTTGCAGAAAGTCCATTGTTTGCCTCACGTAACAGCCAAACGGAAAGTCCATTGTTCACAGCCAGTCCGTTGCTCTAGCCATGTAACGGCCAAACAGGAAGTCTGTTGTTCGCAGCGTCCGTTATTCGAGGCATATGTTATATGAGGCACCACTGTATATTATAATTAGCTATTGCATAATACAACTGTTAAAAATGATCATTTAGAAAATATTAGAAAATAATCTGGCATAGTTCCATGGCTTTAAATATTCAAATTTTAAATCCTAATTTGAATTTAGTATTTTAAAAAATTATTCTTTTATTATGAGGAAATTACATGAGGGCTATTCAGAAATCAAGCTCCAGCGAGAAGTTAGAAAAAACAAGAAAGGAATAAAAGAATTTTATTATGTAAATTCAGACACTTATCATGGCTTGAATTGAGTTTCTGCATTTCTGCACCTCCTTATCATTCCTCAGAAAAAAATTTGCTGCTTAGGAGATAACTTCATAGACATTCTGTGAAACTTTTGAATAACTATATGGAGAGGAATGTTGACAGATATTGCATTTCTGAACAACAATGCAAGCCCATACAAAGATGCTTGCACAAAAGAAGTGCAAGCAGTTTCATTGGACCTGTTTCCACACCAATTGTATAGCCCAAATATCACTCAGATGACTTTTGTTTCCCACAGATGCAAGTCTGGCTGAAAATGCAACATTTTCACATAAAAGAGGAGCTGATGAATGGTGTAAATGACTGGCTCAGCTCCCAACTGACAACTTTCTTTGAGGAGGGGGATACATAAACTTATCCCAAGCTGAGAGGTGCCTGATTTTAGAGAGATTATGTTGAGAAATCGCCTCAACATACAGCTAAGTACTGTACATAATAAAATTGTTTTCTCCCTTTCTGATTTTTTAACTGCTCACCAGAAGCCGATTTCCAAATCAACCTTGTAGATTTATCATTTATGACTGTATCTTCACTTCTTTCCTAGAAGTTTTTAAAATATATTCTAACTGTGATTTGATTATGTTCCATATGTTTTGATATATCTATTGATTAGCTTCTTGTTTGATATGTTAAAACACTGTTTATGAAATAAGGTTGTTGTGTAAATTGTTATTTTCTGATCAAAAATAATCCTTGCTTAGTGGATATTTTTGTGTGAATTTGTCATGCTCCTTTCCAGTTTTCTGATGGTGTAGTAGTTACAGATGATAAATTCACTCATATCTTCAGTCTATTTCATCTGTTAGCATGGTCTGGATTGTTGCTGAAACACTGGTTGGATTGATGTATGTTATTCTAGTGAGGTGATGAATATATATGATGCAGTAACCATACATAGTCCAGTGCTATATTCACCACTGATGACCAATAAAGACTAACAGATTTATTAAACATAAGCCTCCCTTATTAACCCGAGCAATGTCCAAATCAGTAGTAAGCTGAGAACATGTCAACTATCTGTTCTCTGCATTAGTAGTAAAACTAGATTTTTATAAATCAGCCATTGATGACAAGAGAAACATGCCATTTAGTAGCTGTCTATTCCAGATCAGATCTGCTTGTGGGTCATTCTCTTTTATTTCTTTCATACACTTTATTGGCATGATTGACTCTACTGGAAGCTATTTGCTCTATAGTTCATTGGTGCTACTGTTCCTCTCTCATCTCAACAAAATGGCAATTAGCAAGAATGTTATTATTCTAAAAATAATTTTATGTAAAAATAAAGTTTTAAGATCTAAAAGTTTATTCAAATAAAAATATATTCAAAGCTAAATCATCATTAATTACTACATTATTACATATTACAAAATACAAGTTATTTTGAACAGCTTTGTATTACGATACTTTCTTAAACCTCTTTAAATACATTCAACTGTTATTTTACATTTTAAATATTAATAACGTAATGCCATTTGAAATAATTTACAATTGATTTTCTGGTGATCATCATTCAGAGCTGAATAATAAGTCTCTCTACTCAGAACACATCCATAAACAGATTGCATAATCTGTATATAAATTTTAGTGTCAAAGGATGTAGAAAAAGATTTTTTCAAAAACAAAATTTAGTCTAAGAACTTCTGCTAGAAGGTACTTTACATAAAACAAAACACAGTAGATAATGAGGACCAACTTTAAAGTGACATTTTAATCTGTTATTTTAAACATTACAAATGAAGTCAGTTGTTTAATTACCTCTAAATTTTACACCTAAACAATAGGACACATATTGAGTAACATTCCTTGTATCAGCATACAACTTATGCAGAAAGCATGTCCCATGTGGAAAGGATAAATATGTTTTGGTTGTTTTGTTGGGCTGCAATTTGAAAAAATTGTAGACCTATATTCCCACTGTCATCTGTCCTTCCTTAATCTCGAGAATGACGTTAGATAAAAGACAAGACCACATATGGAAAATTTAGGGGCAGGAGACCCTGATTAACTACAAGTAACCCCCGTATAACATGGGAGTTACATTAAAAAAAATTGCCGTGTTATGTGAATCCGTGTTATACGAAACAAAGAACTAGTGTGAAAAGGGGGGTTAGGTTTAAAAAATTAAAAAACATACTGTTAAATCCTTATTTAAATCGGATTTATTATTCATTTTTTTTTCATAGGTTCATACTTATAGGTTCATAGTTTTTTCATAGGTTTTTTTCATACTTATTTATTATTTAAGTAAATAGATTATTCATCCTATATGATGATCTCAGCATAAGCATCATCAACTGGTAACAGTTTTTTGGTGCGTTCGTTAATAATGTCGCTCTGCAACGGGAGTGCGCTGCTGTTTGTAGGCATTTATAAACAACAGTGAAAGAACGATGGCAGTGCCCGCACTATCGATAGTATCGTGATGGAGAAATCTATAATTCTAAAATGAGCTTTTAGAGGCAAAAGAAGGATCCCAATTGTAAAATTTAACCATTAAATGGATTATTGTTGAAAGAGCATTCAAAGTAGCCACGAAAACAATTAGAATGCTCGCGCGGAGTTACGCGGAAGTATAAAAGAACACACCCTTTATTACATTTCATGTTGTACGAGGGTTTTACCCAATTCCTGAACCGTGTTAGAAAATCACTGTGCTATAAAAGTGATTATGTTATATGTTATATGGGGGTTGTTATATGGGGGATGTTCCCAATTCTCTAACTGTTTTAGAGTGAATCCGTGCTATAGAAGTGCCATGTTATACGGGGGTTACCTGTACATACAAACTTCCATTGCAAACTGGAAGTCATGTTATTTCAATTCAAAATTTTTCTCCCAAAAGAAGTTAGATAGATGACCGGCACGACTACTGCTAAAGGAAAAGCATAATGTACAAGGGCAAGCCACTACTAATTTTAGGTGGAGAGCATATATTTTAAACTAATTAAATTAAAATTATGATTAAAAATTGCAACCCGGCAATTGCTCGTTTCATGTATTTTCCTATAAAGCCGAAGTGGAAGTTTTTGGTCTAATTTTTTTTTAAAAATCCTTTCCACATCCTTTGCATAGTCTATATACAAATTTTGGTGTCAATCTGCTTATTGGTTATAACTACAAAATGCTCTAAATAGAGAAACTTTAATTATGGTCATACTGTAATTTCTTATTAACCTAAATTATCTCTGTTTTCATTTTTATATGTATAAAATTCAATATAACACTAACAGTTATAAAAAAAAAATTATTAATACTCTACATTCATATAATATTTAATATACTGATATATTTATTCAATTCTGGGAAATATTATCTAAGTGTAACTTATGTAAGAATTATATAATACTATAAGTATTTTTATTTTACATTCTTACAAACTATGTAAACATTAGTAAAATAAAGCACTCTTTAATAAACTATAAAAATGCATCTTCATTAAATCAAATCAATCATTACAATTTACTAAAAACATTATTTAAAATTCAAAATGACTAGTTTCCTAATTAAAAAAATTACCTTGCTTAATAAGAGATGAACAATAGTTGGAATGCAAAACAACAAAATTATGCCTATACACAATAAAAATAGGGACAATCCAAGTAATATGGCTGAAAATAAAATGGAAAAATAAATTATTAAACACTGATCTTAAGAATTATAGAATCATAAAATTAAAATATCATGCACGAAACTATCCAAACATCACATCAGGTTGCAAGCGTTTAACACAAACTTACTACTTATTTTGTCATAACAAAATAGCAATACAATACATGAAAAGTCTGTACGCAAACACTAACTACTACAGCAATCATAATACAAATACACACTTCGCACAATCATAGAAAATAACACACACAAATGATACCACGATCAAGCCATAATCACGATAAAACAATCCATTGCATTCATTGACAAACAAAACAAAATCACATACACCATAGACATAGCTGTATCAAAACACCGACAATATACAAAATAGGTACACTGAAAAAAATAGTAAATACATAGAAAGTAAAAGCAGCAGAGGAAAATAGATAAAGTACTTATGCCTATATTTCTTGGTACCATACCACTAAACTATTGATACACAAGTATAGAAACATTAGGGCTTCACAACAGCACATACCATCACACTACAGAAAGCTGCCATATTAAACACACGTCAGTCAGGAAATTCTTAAACACAGATACACGAACAGCACATAAACAAAATAATATCTTTAACTTTGGTCCAGCATAACACTACATACTGGTATAAGCTGAGTAATACATTCCATCGACAAACATAATAATGAGTAATTCAAAAATTTTGCTTAATAGTTTATTAAATATTTGATAAGAACACAGGAAAAAGTGTACATATTGAATTAAGTACAGGTTCCATATATATTTAAGTCAGAAAAAAGACAATCCTGATAATCATTAATTTTATTTTTTTAATATTTATCATGTATTTAACATTTTTTTGTGTTTTCAATGTTTTTACATTGATTTATTTTTTAAAAATTTTGTATTATTATCAAAATAATGTAAAAACATGGTAATTATATTACAGGAAATCTTTGTTAATTCAAACTTGAAACTTGGATAGTTCAAAATCCCATTAGTTCATAACTGCACTATTTGTCCTGTCTGGAGATAGAGATTTACATGTTAAGGAATTCGGTTAATTCAAAATTTGAAGTGAAAATTCTGTCCGAACTGTGATACGGATATGTTAACTTGTTCATTTAAATCAAAGTCCCTCCATGCTATAATAGACCAAGAACAACTGTAATCTGGTCAACAGGGCTTTGCTTTTAGTAACACATTTTTGGGTGTCACCTTACCAATGGAAAACTATTTCTCTTTCATCTGATAAAATACAGTGGGATTTTGGAACTCAATAATTTGAAGTCACAATTGTTTCATCCCTTGAATCTCAAACTAACAAGGATTTCCTGTAATAGTTTTTTCTTCTTTTGGGTTGATTTGAAGCTTGCAAGCTTAACAATTACATTAAGCAGATACTAAAAGTGATAGCTGACTTTAACATTAAGAAATTAAGATGAAAAACTGGCCAGCATAAAAAGAGTATAGGAGAGATGTAAAAACCAATTGTAAATGTAGCCAAAAGATGATGACTATGGAGTAATAATAGTATTTACTATATTTAATTTAATTATTTATAACTTATCATAAATGTAACATAAAAATATCCTTAATATATAAACAATTTTAATAATTATTGTGCTAAAACTTGACTATTAATATATTTTTTACAATAGTATCTTATAGTAACATTTATTTCTTTCTTTTATAAATCTCAACTTCAAACTTATATCATACATAAATCATATATATGTACTGTGCATTAGTTTATCATATTACTGTAATTGCTTGAAAAGATTTTAAAAATTAAATATTTATATATAAATAGTTGAGATAAAAATATTATTTTGTGTTTTGATCTATGTACTGTACAATCCATTGCTGATTATCTATTAGAAGTTAATCAAAATGTAAATACAAGTTAAATTTATCGAAAACCGATTACAAAAACTAATAAATTAATTATAAACTAGATTAGCGATAACATCTATACTTCTCAAACTAAGAGATTTTTTATCATCATCAACTAAATAACTGAAAAATTAAAGTTTGATTTTTAACTCAGTTTTTTTACATCAATTTATTCAATAACTTGGACAAACTGTTGTGTTACTGTAACTTAACAAAACAAGCACTTGGTTTGATGGCCAGATGGCTGAGTGGTCAAGGTGGTAGTCTACTGCTCTGGGGGACCTGGGATCGAATCCAGACAGGTCCAAAAATCCATCTGGATATGTCGGGTCCCATTCCTCTCACCTGGCTGCCCCATTGTGAGCCTGGCCAAACCCATAATGGGCTTGCTAATGGAGGCCCTCTTAGTGCCCACAGGGTGGAGAGAGTTAAAAAAAAAAAAAAAACTTAACACTTGAGTGATTTGTCTAGGGTGATGCCTTCCAGATCTTTTTAAGGGTAGCTGGCCCCTATTCAGGCTTACGGATACGGAGAAAACCCGGAAAAGTCCACATGGCCAGCCTGTCCTGGCGAGGTTCAAACCCATGACCAAATTACCAGTGTTCAGGGAACGGAACCGCTTGGACACTGGTGGACCCAATAACTTGGAATTACGGATAGACGATGCTACCACCATCATAAATTTTATTCTAATCATATTGATAAATGAATTTTTCACAGGATGGTAGAATTACATTCAATAATTCAGCCTTATTGAAAGTAGTCATTAATAAACTTTTCAGACTTTATTAATTGCATTTTAAAAAACTTTTAGTTTTCATTTTTACATCTCTTAATGGTAAAAAGTCAATTTTATTAATGTATCTCATGTCCATCTTCTGAACTTTTAGCATGATATAGCCTTAGTGTCAAATTATTTAATAATTAATTGAATTATAATTGTAACATGTATCCGGATATGGTTTATTGTCATACTTGTGTTACCTTTCCATACGAACTTGATGTTATATTTATCATCTTGCACTGAAATATCTTTTAAGTTATCACTTGTAGATCTTGATTATTGTTTGAGATTCAATTTTATTTAAATTTAGCAGAAATTATTATAAAATTAAAATCCTCATCATTATGAAAGTTCAAGACTTACCTTTAATCTGAACAAGTACTTTAGTCCAAAATTAAAAAAGATTTCTCCAGACTTAATAGGAAATTTAATTGTAGATCAAGCAAATTGTATCTTCTGTTAAGCTTAAATTCTTTTTAACTTCTGACAAGAATACTTGTTCATATTAATAAATACACTTTCATAAATTATAATAAAATTAAAACATTGCAAGTTATACAATATGTATGTTGTATAACTTAAAACTAATTGGCAATGTATCAGTCCGGTAAGCAAAAGTTGTGGGTTCAAGTTCCACTCCAGGCCAATTCTTTTCTTCCAAAATATTATAAATTATTTAATTTAATAAGAGATGGTGCCTAACTTCTTCCTCTAATGACAAATTATTTAGAAATTAATTAAAAATAATTGTGAAAAAAGTAGCATGATGTAATCTAATAGTTGTTCGGGTTATTACAAATATATCAGGTGTTGTTTGTATAGGTATATAAAACTAAGTTGTAACAAAAGTTATGTTTCAGCTGACTGACCTTTGGGCAACCTTATATAAAAAAATTAATTAAAATGCATATTTATGATAATATATATAAATCTGAAAGTTATGTAATAAACCATTATCGCTGATTATAAAAGGTATGTAATGAATCAACACAGCAACAGACATTTTAACTTATGAAATGTCTTCATTCTGAAACAAAATTAAAAATTTTTGTGCTGAAATCATTTAAATTGCTCAGTAAACAGTAGAAGATTATTGCCTGATTTAAAATAACACCCTCCAATTATGTAATATAGGTGCTGTGTCTATACTGTTAATATTTGTTCCTTTAGTAATAGTTTATACATTTCAAGTATATCCAAACATTTAAGATGTGATGGAACTGAGGCTGAATAGAGAAAATGAGTTATAATAAAAAATACTTCCATATCTCAGTCTGAAGCATAAGGTAACCAAGGTGATAGTACCTTTGACAGTAATGGGGCTTTGTAATGGAATCTTGGTTCTCTTTGATTCTAGTCAGGCGATATCTATAGATAGTACAAATATATTTATAAATCCAATCCATCTTGCAGTCATTTAACAGAATTGTGAAAATCCCAATAATTTAATTAAAAATCTACAACAACATATACGAATATCAACCCAATTTGATTATTAGTGCCAAATGACCTGCCAGAATATTCAGTATGGAATTGAGAGCATCTTTCTCAATCTTTGAATTATCTGGCACACACAGAAGAGAGCCAAGGAGCCCTGGCACCCTCCAAAGAAAAAACTATAAAAATTTTAAAAACTCTTTTCCTAATTAAAATTCTTCTTTTTTTATCTTGTGTTGTGTCTTTTATTTCTATACTATTTATGAATTAGAAATCACATAAGATAGGAATTTTATTAAATCCATATTAACAATTTTATTTTATCCATTCAACTTAACTCATCTGAGATTAAATCCCGAGTGCACTATCAAGTGCTAACCATTGCAGTTTCCATCATCAGTTGTGAAAGATCATTCAAAAAATTAAAATTAATAGTTTTGTATTTGAAAACTTCCATGAGTTAATGCAGATTGATTTTGCTGTTTTGAGTGCAGAAAGAGAAAAAACTAAAAAAATTGACTTTGATTACATCACAATTTGTAATAATGAAAACAATGAAGATGCACTTATAATTTTCGTGTAGTGCCATAATTTGTTAATTAAAAAATTAACAAGTTCGACTTGTAATTTTAAGATGCCTTTTATTTTTTATGACCTTTTTTATTTGATTATCTGATTGATTGTCTGCATACAAATAGAAAAACAAAATCGTGTGTGTTGAGAAGTATCCGAGAAATAGATGATAATATTTTTAGACAACAATAAAAAAAAAGGGAAAGGAGGACCATAAAGTATATAAAAAGAATTAAGTACTAAATGGATGGAAGAAACTGAAGTGGGGCCATTCATGATATTATAACAATTTTAATGAGAAAATATGATTCAGATCACTGATGTTGCTGTAATTTAAAATAAATTAAAAAACTCATTTTGAATATAACTTTTTAAAATATTGCACCTTTTGAATTCATAAAATAACTGCTTAAGCAGATACTCAATCACATACATCCTTGTATAGCAGCATAAATCTTTATTAATGTTTTCAGCATTATTCAATGACCTTCATCATGTTTATTAATAACAATTAAACAATTTACAAATGCTAATAGAACACAGAACAAAAAATGATAAAAAAAAAAACAAACAACACCTTTTAATAATAATTAAAAGCAAATGTTATCTATTATTTCGCATCATGTTGCGTATGGTCTCAAATTGTGAAAAATTATTAACCTTTTTTATCATAAAACACAAATTTTAAACACCAAAATCCACAACATTATCATTTTTATTTTAAACAAGATAATGTTTTGCAGTATTTATTTAATCAACAGATAATTTTATACAAGTATAAAATAAAATGTTTACTTACCACTTGATTTATAAAAAGTCATTTTCCAAAGATATCAAATTTCAGCTATACATTAATAGCCAACACTATTGAAAACAATATTTTACATTATTATATATACAATTATTTATAATAATTTTTATATTTATTAAACATTTAAAAGAAAAAACAAAAAAAGAGCAAGTTACAAAAACGTAACATTCGATCACTATCAAAAGGAAATTACTGTAATAATGAAATTATATAAAATACTTCCTCCAATATTTATTTTATTAAAATTTTACTCAGTTTTTATAGAAGCAAAATTAATTTAAATCTTTAAAATTTGAATACAGTCGACCCCCCTATAGCACTGTTAATTCCATTTTATATGAATTCCATGTTGTACGAGTCACTTAGATTTTACAAATACGTGAGCCGTTCACAGCCCGGCACACGTATTTGNTTACAAAAGAAAGTATTAATTTTTCACTATAATTTATGGAACAAACAGTCAAATTTGTGTCAAACAATCAGCTGAATTGGTGACATATATATTATTTATTTTGTATAATTTTAGACAATTCTTGAGTTGTTATAACTTATATAAATTAATGTTTTATATAAAATTATTATATTTAAAATACAGGGTCTATAAACTCATATTTAATTCACTATGTTGATATATAGGTTATGTATGCCAGAGGCATTTCCAAATAAAATAAGTCTTAAAAAAAATCTTTATTTTTATAAATTATATGGTTAAAAAAAAAGTAAAGGAAAAACAATGAGAATAAATTTACTCTATACAGTTATACCAGCCATGCTACATGTTTAAGAACAGTTAACATGGCTTGTCTGAGATTAAAAGTAATCTTAAAATGTGTTCTAGTAAACTTGTTAGTTTGTTTGGAAGATGACGCATGTTAAATTCGTAAAATATAAAATAAAAATAGCATAGAATCAATAAAAATTGCATGTATTTGTCTAAGAGAATGCATGCATAAACTTTCTTCTTGCATCTATCCATTCAAGTGTTGCAGTTAATGAAAACAATCTTTTCTCTAATATTTATAATTTTCCTCATTTTTGTTATGACAATGACTGGACAGTCAGCATTTTTTCAGATTTATAAGATGCCTATTGTTGTTGTTATGAATAAAACAATAATAATAACTGTTTTCCTTTCAAAATTTAAGTATAAATGTATAGTATTTAAATTTAAATAATTGCAAGTCATATTTCTTACAAAATGACGTAGTGACAATAATAAAATTATTTGTAACATTTTCATTTTGACAAAAGTCAATTAAAATTATATTATTAAGACATTTAAAATTCATTTATAAACTTAAAAAATAGTTTCAGTATTGAAAGTTAGAATATAAAGTGCTGATTTTTATGATTTTTTTATATGTGATTATATTGATAAATGTATATACTTTATCAGCAAAATAGATAAAAATTACTTAATTATTTATTTTATTAAAATTTAATAAAATACAGTGAAGCATCTAAAATCTGGACTAACTGGGACCAGATCCCTCTGGATTTTCAAATATACACATGTAAATTGGCATTTTAAGTGCTGTAAACTCCAAATATACTGTAAATCGAGTTTAGACATTCTAAGTTCAAGCCAGTATTTCACAAGGAATACAGAAATACAAAGATTCAAAAATATAATTTACAGAATCATTACATTTAAATGAAAAATATATTAATCATAATTACAAAACCAATTCTGAATTTTGAATGAATGTTAGAAATCAACAATGCATGGCTGAAAGAACATCAACAATAAATATATCAATTTTTTGATGACTGAATACAGATTTTCGATGCTTCAATGTACTTTTGATATTTCGATGTTTCTCTATGAATGATATTGCCTGAAGAGGACAGTTAAATATGGCCGAAAGTAACTGCAAATTAAATTTTTTTTCCCGTAATGCCGATAGACAGTTATGTAGCTTATCTATTTCTAAATACTATTTGGCATGTAAAGTTATCTATATTTTATATAAAAAAAACTACTTTACTGACTTTACTGAAACTGTTAGTTTACTGAAACTGCTAATACAAACTGTTAGTTATTAAAGCTCCAGTGAAGCAAGTATCGAGTGCAGATCTTCCAAAAGCTGGAACTTTTCTACTGAGCCACAAAGATCACTTTCCTTGCTTTTTCCCAACAAATTTATATTGTAAAACGAATGTTTTCACCCTTCTTTAGTGGCCTGTCTCAGGTTATTGAATGAAAAAGAGCTGAGGCAGCCTGCTAAAGGCCAAAAACATTTTTGTATTAAAAATTTGCTGGAAAATATGAAAAAGGTGATCTATTGTGGCTTAAAGCAAATATTTTTTTTATCATTAAAATAATATAATTGCAGTGAGTGACCTGTATGGCTATGTCTTCTAAATTAACTGATCTGAAAGTGAAGATCAGATCATCTGATGGCATAAATGATAATGCATCTGCATGACAAGCAGAAGCTGGAGATGCAAGTCCCTGCTCCAGATTAGTCATTTCAATATTCTAAATTTAATTTCGATTAACATATTTAATATAAGATGGCAACTTAATTGTCTACTTTTAGTCCGAATTAATGTAATTTATATTTCCCCACACTTCCACATCATATCTGTCCAGTTCCAGCATTCCACTAACCTGGAAAATGTATATTGAATAAATCTGACACATCTGTAGGAATGTGGAGTGGTGTGCCATCTTGCTGAAAGTACTATATATGCATCCTTCTATGTTGCATTGTTTAACTGTGACATGAGAAAAATTTTCCAACATATCCAAATAGAAAATACTGTATTTCATAAAAAAACTTTATTATGAAAAAAGAAGGGACGGTACACTATTGTTGCTAAGAGCCCAAAGCACATTCAATTTTGGACTTTCACAAAACATGTTCCATAGTTGCTTATGTATTTTCAAAGCCCCAAATTCTGCAGTTGTCATTGAGATGAAATGTTGATTCATCACTAAAGATAATATCCAGGAATGTATTGTCTACCTCAATCCAATGCAATATTTCTGTACTGTACAAGATAAACTTGATGCATTTAGTTATAAATTTATGTCTCAACCAATTCTGTTAAGTCTTCTGATTAAAACTTTGAAAGTATACAGAATTTTAAAGATCTTTTCAAATCATTCTGTATAAATATTTCAACTACTGTTTACAGTATTCAGATAACTTGTTATACAGTGGGTGATTGGTTAACGAACAGTTCGGACTGTGAAAAAACTGGACAATGAACACTTTTGCAAAAGATTTTTACATTTGGATAACAAACAATCACAGAACAAACACAAAAAGAAGCAATGTAAAATAACAAATACTTATTGGTTTTCCCGTGTCTCCATATGGCAATTCAAAATGTTTTGGAGCACGGAGACATCAATGCTCAACCCAATACCAATCAGATAGTATTCCTTCAAACTTGAAACTTTCCCTTGTAATTTCACCTTTTTGTTTACCTTTTTGACAAATAATTTTTTATCGTCTTTGCAAGACTGTCAGGTACTTGTTAAGTTTTGCGTCGGTTTTTATTTTCAAAAGGTGAGACTGTCCTATCGGATATTTGTTAATGTTTTAATGACAAAATTTTGAATTTCATTTGGGCCTCACATTTACATAATTCTTTCGTGTGCTAGTTGATTTCTGTTCTCTGAATTTTTGTGAGTGATTTTCAGAACTTTTTATTTCAAAAAGAAATTGATAATATTATGGAGTCTAAAAAGAGTAGAGTGTCAAGAACCGTGCTCATATAGAAATCAAGCAAGAGATAATAGCCAAGATAGAGAGTGGGCAGAAGATGTCTGATGTTGCTAGGCTGTATGGCTTGAACAGGTCTACAGTAGTCACAATCTTAGGTAAGAAAGTTATAATCAAGAAGACTCAAGCAGCTAAAGGAGTAATGAAAATCACATATGAGAAAGAAAGAATAGAGGATTCATAGAAACCTCTATATAACCCGCTTAATAAATTAGAAAACATACTACATAAATGTAGTATGTTTTCTAATTTGAAATTAAAAAATTGTTTTAGATAAACTATTGATTTAATAACAATAATACAAACATAAAATCAAAAACACTTAGTTTATAAGATTATCATTGAGTTTTATACTGAGATGTGTTTGGAACATCATTTTTAAGATTGGAAACATTTGATTCTTATAATAAATCTAGTAATTTGTTCAAATGATTTTGACTTGTATCAATACTTGACTGTTTAGTTTATGAATTGTACAATTTATCATTATTATATTATGCTGTTAAATATATTATTAATTACTTGTACGTTACTACACTATTAATATACAGTGGATGATTGGTTAACGAACATAATCCATTTCAAGACTGTATTCGCTACCCGAATTGTTCGTTAACCGATTATTGATTTACCATAGATTATTATGGGAATTTGATTAATTCGTTCTGGAGACATCAAAAAATAATAAACAGTAAGAAAGTTTTTATTTTTATATGTAATAATAAAAATACATATATATAAAGTCTTGCATTTTTAATCAGTCATGTTTTTTTCTCGTTTGTTGGATGTTAAAGAACCTGTCCAATGTTGATTGCTTTTCTATCTTCTTCAGGATTTTTCTTCAGCTCCTTCTTTATCTGCATTAGCAGACTCAACGTGAATTTCTACATGTTTAATGCCAGATCACCTTCTAAACTTTGCAAGCCATCCAGTGGTAGCCTTGAATTCTATCTCCTCCCGACAAATGTGGAGTTTGTTTCTTCAGTTCTTCAAAAATTTCTCTAGCTTTCTCTTGAATGATAGTCATACTAGTTACATCTCTTTTCATTTCCCTTTCTTTTTTCCAAATTAAAAGCAATCTCTCCATTTTTTCACGGATGGCACCATGAAAAAATGGAGATATTAAGTATGTTATTTGTGATTTATATCACTCTAATAATAATTCTTCTAAATTGTTAGCATTTAGAAGAATTATTTTTCAAAACTTAGATGAATAAACAATTCTATCAAAGTTTCTTGGATGACATCAACTAAATCAGCATTTACCAAAGTGGGCTCTGTGAGGAGTTCTATGCCTCACAAATCTTTTAAAACAT